ATCAGACACAGTAGCGTTGTAGACGCAGAAGCATTGCTTGCCATCAGTAGGAACGACGGTGCACATTCCAACTCCAGTGTCATATAGGACGCACGCACTACTCTTGGGGTTGAACACAATCACACGCGGATCTCCACCAACCACTGCTATAATTGAAAATACAAATTCCAGTAAATTAAATCAAATGAATTAAAAAAAAAGGGAAAATGATATTTTAGGCGACAAAAAAAAAAACCTACAAAATGCCGATTTGAACGTGACAATAAATAAATGATTATCTCAAATGTCACACCATATTAAATACAGTAAGTTACCATTTCTGCAATTTTCTTTCATATCTTCTTCACCTTTTTCTCTCCTAACTCTCCTATGATTAATTCATTTCCTTTTTTATCGTCTTCATATTTTTCTGTGTATGTTAATTTTTTTTATAATTTTCTTTGAAATTTTGTTCTTTATAAAATATTTTTCACTAAAAGACTTGTTACAATAAATGAGATTTTTATCCTAATCTATGTCTTAATATCATATAAGATTTTCACCCAAAAAAACACATAAAAGAAAAGAGAGAAGATTTTCGATTTGCGATGGAAGATTTTCAGTTTTCTTCCACTTCCAACTTTAAAGTAATTAAGATCTGGGTTTGTGGGATTTCTATTAATATTTTTTCTCTCATCTCTCATAAATACACACACTGAGAAAGAAGAGTAAAACAAGATGAGAGAAAACAATTAACAGAAATCCCACAAACCCAAATCTTTAAAGATTCAATTTCATCGTAAATTAGTGCTCAATCGCACCGGCTGTACCGATGATGATTGCAGTTTCACGGCGTTCCACAGAGAGGATATGGAGGATAGAGAGAAAAAAGATCTTCCAACTTTTGTTAACAGCTGTATTAATGGATATATTTAGATTTTAAAGTAACTCAGTAACATACACGTAGAAGTCGTAATATATCGGTTTTTTTAAGTCGGGCGAAATAGCAGTACTTAAAAAAAAAAATCATATATATATATATATATATATATATATTGATGGACAGAATAATATGAAAAAATAAAAAATAATTTCAATTTTTGAATGAAAAAAAAAATGGTAAATTTACTACTGTAGAAGATAATTGATCAAACCTGAAAAGGCAATGAAAATGAGGAAGAGAGAGAAATAAGAAGAATAGTTAGACATCATCTTTAGCAACAGCTAACAACAACAACTTTGTTGGTTTAATGGAATGACAGTCTAATGATCCTTGTGAAGGTGGGATTTATACTACAAAGAACTCACACATATTCATTTTCCTTTTTCTTTTCTTTTTTTTTATTTATTATTTAAGTAAAAACATTTATTAAGAAAGGATAGGCTCATACATCCCTTCTTGTCCTGTCACCATATTTATTTACTTGCCATCTATAAATGCCCAAAAATAGATGGTTTATTATTTGGAATGACTGACTTAGGGTGAACAAAAAAAATTGATTGAGCTGATAAATTGAATTGGATCAAATTGGATTTATATGTTTGGTTTGATTTTTTCATGATTTGATTTGGTTATGATTTAAAGTTTTACAAAATCAAATCAAACCAAACCGAACCAAACCAAACCGTTTTATAAATGGTATATACATACTTATATATTTTATATTATATAAATAATAGAATAACAAGATTAGACTTTTAACCGCTCAACTATATATCATAATTTAATAGAAAATTATATTCTAATAGAAAATTATACTATATATAATATATATTTTAGATTTTATATATTTATTAGATTGTTTTATAAAAAATTCTATAACCGTATAATCGAAAATGGTTCGGTTCGAATTTTTATAGAACCATTAAGAATGATTTGGTTTCAAAATATTCTTAAACTGGTCCAATCCTAATCATGTGCATCCCTGTATTAACTATTGCAATATAGTTTAAATAAATAAATAAAAACATTCACTGACCTTATTCAAGGAGAATTTATTAAAATAGTTCAGGATTATAAGTGACTTGCTTTTCCAATTCAATCACAATTAATGTTAAAGTTTTTTTTTAAGGGCAAAGTGCAATAAACCCCTTAACTATTTGAGTTTTGTAATAAACCCCACTCAACTAATTTTGTTTGGCCAATAAACCCCCTCCAACTATCTAAGGGGGTAACATAGTGGATGGGAGTTGATGGAAAATATTTTTGAGACGAAAATGCTCTTATTCCTATTTTATATGGCAAATATCACAAAATCCCATATACTTTGAATTTTTGGCAAGAAACCTCCACGAAGAAAAAAACTTTACATAAAACCCCCTAGCTATCCAATTTGTTCCAAAATGATGTTCTAATGACTAAAGTGTCCCTTAATGTAAAGTTAATAAAATGGTGCTGCTTAATATTAAATTAAAATTAATACAAACTCATTTGGCATAGAATTGTTATAAAAAATTTTATTTTTTTTAAATGATGAACCTATAAGAAAATAAAAATACCTTACAACAATTTACAAAATTTTCTTAATTTTTTATTTTTAACTAAAAAAGAAAGGAAAAGCTAAATAAAAATAAAAATTTTGAAAATTGTTTCAAGGTATTTTCATTTCTAAACATAGAAAAGAAAAGAAAAGCTAAATAAAGGTCTTTATTTTTTCTTTTTAAAAATTAAAATTTAAGAAAATTTTGAAAATTGTTTCAAGGTACTTTCATTTTAAAAATAAAAAAATAAAAAATAAAAAAGATAAGATAAGATACGATAAAAAAATAAAAAATAAAAGGTATTTTCTTTTTTATTTTTGAAAATAAAAAATTAAGGTTTGATCACTATTTTAAAAAAATCAAAAAATTTATAACAAAACTATGCAAAATGAGTTTGTATTAATTTTAATTTAATTTTAAGTAGCATCATTTTATTAAATTTATATTAAGGGGTACTTTAGTCATTATAACATCACTTTACAACAAATTGAATAGTTTGGGAGGGTTTATGTGAACTTTATTCTTTAAGGGGATTTCTTACCAAAAATTCATAGCATACAGGTTTTATGCATTTTTCCCTATAAAATAGGAATATGGGCATATTTGTCACAAGAACAATTTTCATCCACCCGCCTTCGATAGTTAAGGTGTTTTTTTTGGTAAAAAATTAGTCGGAGGAGTTTATTTTAAAAACACAAATAATTGAGGAGAGTTTCTTGTACTTAGTCCTTTTTTGAATAATATATTTTAAAATCTTACGGGTCCACATATTTTTAATTAGAGATTTAATTGAATTGGACCACTTAATCAAGTACTGGACCACACGGTTAATGAGTAATGGTTTATATATCATCAACCAACTGAGACAAACCGGTAATGCTGCCACTCCTAATTAATGTGCCAAAAAACTCTGGTCCACTAAACAGAAAGCAATGCTAATATATTATTTCTTTTTTCTTCCCACCTAAATTAGAACATAATTAATGTATTTTCTCTTTTTATAAAAATTCACTTCCAACACTGATTAATACTCTTAATAATGAGCAAAAAAATTAATGTTCAATACTAATTACCGAATGTGAACCCCCCTATTCAATGTCATCAGACAAAAAAAAAAAAAAAATTTGTAGGGATGCAACACATCTAAAAAAAATAGAACAATGATATAGCATAAATGTGTCAAAAAAATAATTAAAATAAATATATTTTTTTCATTTTATACCTGTAAAATGAATAAAATTACTAATTAAATTGCATTGGGTCTGCTGCCCCGTGAATAATCAGTTCTCATGATTGATTTCTATTAGATGCAAACAATTCTTTAGAAAGGGTGTATGATTATTTACTAGGAAAAAAAAAATATTGCTTTGAATTCCATTTTTCTAAAACAAAATTAATAATAATTATAAATCACCTTGCCAGAGTGTCCAAAATTTGTCATTGTCATGTCGCAATCATGTCCAACCAAATATAAAATATTTAAATTTTAAGATACTTTTAAAATTTTCAAATTTAAAGATATTTTTAATCTTATCCGATATGGCCATGACAACCAAAAAAAAAAAAAAAATGGGTATCCCGATTCCGTCTCCTTGCTGAAGAAAAAAAGGATTCAATGGATGAAATCAATAAAAATTGAAAAAATAGGGTCTTATATATATATATATATATATATATATAAAGTTTCTTAACAAAGTAGTCTTTATTTTTTATTTTTTTTTTTTGGGTCATAATAAAGTAGTCTCCAATCCTCAAAAAAGTGCTAATTTGTATTCATAATCTTCAAAATTTTCTTTAAGAAAATGCACATTTGATTAGTTTCTCTACAAAAGTTGTATTTTGGTTTTACTAATTTTGTTTACCCGAAAACATATCCTAATGATATTGGTCAGCTACTTAGTAACAATTTTGACTTCAATTCCTTGTAATTTATTTTTGCGACTCCCCAATTTGCGAACTCTTTTACTCTGAATGACAAGCAGCAGTTTGCCAGCAAGGACGATGCCTAAAGACTAGACACAAACTAGCAATTTGGGCGCCTATTTATGTTTGTAAAGCGACCGACTTACAGGTTCTTCCAATTCACCCGAACAGATTTTGTTCGGACTGTTATGTATAGTGATTATTTGTGGACTATGGTGGCTATAATACATGGTTTCAGTGGCCACGGTGGTGTTGCCTTTAGGCAGCGACTTTTTTGGCGATCCCAACACCACCTACGGGTTGCTTTCCTCATCTTTAGACCGAAGACCAGCATTAGTTGAGAGGTTCAATTCTTCTTCTTCCATAGCGTCTCTCTATTGAGAACCATATGCATGTCCGACCATTTTGGTTGAACACTTGCCAAAGGACTTGCATAACAATTGCAACATCATGCAGCAGCGCTCTCCTTGTTAAAAATGCAATGCATCCAACAAGGCGATGATGGCGGTGATTGATGTTGATGCCCTGAAGGCGGCATGGGCAAATGTAAGACCACAGAGCTCACAGCCCAATTGGTACATGATTGCTATTAACATCTCTCAACAGAAAAACTGACCTTGAAAGAACTCAAAATTTTGAAGTTTTGACATTCAGCATACACAAAATACAGAAAAGTATCCAATATCTCAGGAGTATATAGGCGCACGTATAAGTCAAAAATGTTAGGACTCATACTACGGGTGTTAGATCACGGAGAAGAAATACATAGATTTAGTATCGTACGTTTTAACTGTGTAGTAACTCAACTACGGCAGCAACAACTCCCTTTCCTTCGACAGATATGTCCAGGCCTGGATCCTCAATCTTCCTTTTAAGAAGCTTGTCAAGTTCCCCTCGCAATTTCTGCAAAATCCATTACCAAATCACTTAATCACACAATCATCTACAAATTGGTCTCTCACTGTTTCTCTACAAAAAATTTATCTTATTTTTGTATTTTTTTGAAAGCTATATCTATACATATTGTATTATATGATACATCTTTCAAGGGGTCGGACAGAAAGAGGAACTCTATAGGGGAATGTTACCCGTATCAAGTCCAAAACACTGTTCGACGCGGAGAAGTGAAGGTATCCTCCAAGCATTTCAATACCCTCTCCAGTTTTGCTCGGAATAAGATTACCGCCAAACATAAGTAGAGCATAATCTGATATGTTTGTTGAATCTCGTACATAAATGCTGGTAGTTTTCACCTTTTCACTATAAACCATGTAAGGAAGAGGGAAAAGATGAATGCCAGCATTGACAGAAGCTGGATGGATGTCAACTTTCCCAACTTCTTTAGTGTAGAATGCAGTTCGCTTTCCTCTTCTTTTGCATTGCACAACGTTTGGGTAGAGCCCAGCACAAAGAATTGCAGATACCATCTCCAAATCGCTACTATATTGGTTATAAGCCTGCAGACATAAACATTAGTTTGTTAAAATCATCTGATCAGCTCTGGCTTTCGGTAATTATCATAGAATAATTCTAGTAACCCAGAATGTAAAAGTAAACATGGGTAAGCAGGAACAAGAAATCCTAAACAGCTAGATATGGATATGGCAAGGACATGACAATATATAAACAATAAGTTTTATTTGTATACATCTATAATATAAGATTACAATGGGACTTTGATTAATTTTCTAATTTTTATACCAAGAACTACATAATGTGGAAGATGAAGCTGCAAAAAATCATAACGATTATTGTGTTACATTTACCACTAGTGCTTTCCTGCTAACTTTTTGCAATTGCAATTATATACTTGTCTAATATTAGGTGGTGTTCATTACATGATAGATTTGTGCCCCATGGATATAATGTCAAATTGTCTTAAAAAAAGAAAGGTCGGACATATATTGTGTGTCAATCCTTTTAAGATTTTCTTTATGGTACATTTGTTATTAGTGTCCAAGATGTGTAGGCAAGTCTCAAAATGATATAAATTATTTGAAATTATGGACAAGTACATGAGTGTGAGATCCTGTCAGATGCCAAGCATGGACACCAAACCTTCATAGAAGCCTCCATGCCTAGAATTTTTCCAAAGAATGCTTTGTGCCCTGGTAAAATGCTCAAGCTATCGAGCACAAAAACATGGATTTGAATCCTATGATAAGGTTAAATTTGTATCCAGTCCACTCCTACCAGCACCGTCTATTAACGAGGACCATACGGGCACCATTTTATTAACCTTAGTAAGAGGATTAATCTTGGGTTGACCAAACAGCAGCAGGTAGTCATATCCAAATCAAAGCGTCAAAAGAATATAATATATTCACGGAAAACAAATTGTGAAAACTAGCTTACATTGGCACCCCTCGATTTATCTACAAAGCCAATGTCCGATAGTAGATCTAAAAACTGGTTTCTCATATCCTCCATCATCTGCAAGGTTATCGGTGATAAGAAATTCTCCCAACAAAATGCTCTTTCCTTCCCATTACGTTTTGCATCCTTCCAACCTTCAAATGCTTGCAGAAGCGCTATGTGGTCACTGCAAAAAAAAGGATAAAATTTTGTATTAGTTATCATATTAATGATCATTGTTGACAAGAAAGTTTTGTTAATCTATCAAAGAGGAGCAGTATGGCTTAACTGAATGGCCTAACCTGCAAGAATCGCCAGCAAATGATCTTTTCGCATCATCAGCTTCCTCTTTCCTGTTTATTGGAAGGACAAATGGGTCCCGATGTGCAAGAGCAGAAGCAATTGTTAAGGCTGGATTAAGACATTGAAAGATGGAACCCATGAGAAGCATCTTTCCAATATTTGGATCCAAAGGGATCATGCATAGATGGCGACCTGTAGAGTGATAAAACGAAAAATTATATTACAAAAATATAAATATATGGGAATTAGTAGGACAACAACAGGTATCCAATAATACACACCAAGTGGAGTAAGCTCTTCTGAATCATCTAGAGATCCAATTGTCTTGAGAAGCTCAATGGCATTTTGAACAGAAAGAGGATCTGGAGGCTGAAGTGCCTTGGACAAAAACAATCCAATGGCCCCAAGCTGCAAGCTTTTGATATGTAGGCACAACTCTTGCAAAGGTGTTCGGAGAATCTCTGGTAATTGATACTGAAGCATAGCATCATGGATCAATTTTGGATACAATTTATAACAAACTCCAGGCTGGACACGGCCCGCACGACCACGTCTCTGTTATCATCTCACCATAACAATATGAAGTTAAAAATCCAAAAGTTGACACATGTAGATGTAGAAAATTTATAAACAAGGACAATGCATTAAGCTCAAGTTAAACTTTCATAGTAAGCTGTGAATACCTGATGTGCTGAAGCCCTTGAAATCCATGATGGCAATAGACAGGCAAGCTTATTTAGAGCATCATAGCTAGTCTCTTTAGCCTTTCCACAATCAATAACATAAACAACATCATCTATAGTTATACTACTCTCTGCAATGTTCGTTGCTAGCACAATTTTCCTGCAAGAGAAGAAATTGATCAGAAATTTAGAAAACCAAACAAGGACTGGAGTCTTCAATGGGTGAATATGTTCACCAAACATAGTACAATGAGTGAATGATAATAAAAACCTTCCAGACCAGTGAACTTATAGGTTCAGTTATCCACAAAATTATCCACCTCAATGATCTGAACTCTACAAACTGGCTTCCTAATAGAGGATAGAGTAAAAACTACAATTGTACAAAAGATAGTAACACAACATAATAAGACAATTTTCTGAAGACAAAAAATATTCAGTTCCACCTGCTCTTCCAGCCATACTCTCTGCATCCTAAAGAACAACAATAAAGATGGTAAACTGTTCCTTAGACAAGCTCCGTAGGACTAATTTATATCCCACTACCCTCTCCATTACTTTAAAACAAAGATGGGAAAAAACATGTATGAAGCAAGAATACAAAAAAAGGACACAAGAGATGAAGTGCTACAGCATTATAAACAAAGGATGCAAATAATGATAAAATATGACATCAATAAAAACTCAAAACTAATACTTACCAGAGTCAATATTGTTAGGCCCAATATAATGCAGCATTTCAAGAGCTTAAAGAAAAGGTGATCATTTAACAAGTAGATAACTGATGTGTGAGGAAAAAACAAGGCAATCGTCATGAAGATGTAAATCTCATTAAGCATTGTCCTTGTTCTTGCCTCTTGGGTCTCCATTTTAAAAAATTCCTATCAAAAGATTGTTTTAAACAATATTCAACCTTTGGATTCACTAAAAGAAGTGCGATATTATTGGAATCAACCAATTTAAGAAACTGATCACAGACTTAGTTTGCAACAGAAAGAAAGATAAGAAACCATCAAATTGTTGACCAAGCCCCCCTGTTTCCTCCCCCGTCCTCGGGAGAAGCCAGGGCCAAACTTCTATTACATGGTAGTAAATATTTTTGTTTTTAATAGAAGTTTCGATGTATTGATATTTTTCATTAATCTCACTAAGACAATCCTTCAAGATTAGGTATCTTTTGTTCAAATGACAACCACCAAAAATTTGTTAGCAACCACTTTTTCTTCTTTGCTAGGATGATTTCAATTCATAGGTCATTTGGGCATGAAGGCTGATATAGTTGCAAAAAGAAAATATTAAGAAGGTAGTAAATAATATTCAGGGAAAAAAAAAAAAGGTTGTAAATACTAGACATAGAAAGCTGAGTTTCCCTAAAATATGTCGTATGGCATGCAATAACACGAACATGGCCCTATGAAAACGCAATATGGAAGCATTGCACCCTTTTGACAACTGTTGGACCATACCTCGTTATTCCTCACACCTGACTTGGTAGAAAACTGCAGGCTGAGACATCAGTCACATCACAGGACCTCGAAGCACACTATTAAAAGACAACATAAGTGCTCGGCAACCTCAAGCACATTCGGCCCTGTAGTGGGAGAAAAGCCTGTGCTTGCCATCAGCAAGTTCCAAATATACTTGCAACTTACAGGCTTGTTTACATTGGTACCAGGTTCACACATCCACTTCAGATTTATACCATCTTCTAAGGTAACCGGCAGGTATCAATTTAGAGGGTGCATTTGAAAATATATATATATATATATATATATATATATATATTTCATATTACATGTATAAAATAGAGAAACTTTAAATGTTAAATGAGAAGAAGATAAAGGCAAGTGCAAATAAAGAAAGAAACATGATAAAATAGAAGATCGAATGAAGACTTATTTATCATGATTCTCGCATCAAAAGATAGAAGCTGAAAATTGGAAGATGCTTGCCTCACGTTCAATGGTGGGCGATCAAATATTTCACGTTGATTAATGGTAGGCATTGAGCCATGAAGTGGAAGGATAAGGAACTTGCTGGGATCTCTTAAAAAGTTGTTTGCTTTAATTCTGTCAAGCAGCTTAGAAATGTCATCCCAACCAGTGAGGAATACAAGAATAGCTCCATCACTTTCATGGCGACAAATGTACTCAATTGTTGTTTCAACCTACAAAAAGTTAGTGAATTTTTAGGAAGAAAAAGGATTTCCAAAGCAACAATTAGTGGAAATATGATTATATGAAAACCTTATGGCATGTATGTCACATCAATGTCTTTAAAATTGATGAAAATGCTGCAGGTTTTGTAATATTTTAACAATATAATCAAAACCTTGTATCAACGACATGATCAAATGGTGCCAGAACATTCTCTCTTTACAACCCATTGAGGAGATCCTGGTCACCTGACTCACCTCTATGTTAACTTAGCAATCAAGATCAAGTTAAGTAAGGAATCCTAGCCCATCTCTCTGTCTGGTTCAAGTAAAGTATGGAAATAGTCTAACTCCAGAAAAGGGATCTAATATCCATTAATATCGGAATTCTTCAATATCCATAAGATTTCAATCTAAATGGACATGCCAATCTAAATGCCCGAATAATTTATTCACCGATAGAATGTTTTTTGCATGAATCAATTTTCAATGTAGATATTTTCAACTTCATGCATGTTCCGGTCACATTTCATGAGTTACAATGCATGATGCATCTAATATATTAACTTGTGCGTCCACAACTCCCGTACAAGAGATTGAGGATTTACCTACAGTTTATTGTACGTTTTTTCCAAACAAAAAGCAAAGAAAGACAGTCGTCAACTGGCACCATGATCAAGATCAAAAGCTGCTAGCAGAGTTCTTTTATTCAAATAAACCCCCCACCACACCCCACCCCCCCTTCTCTCCTTTTCTTCGAGATCGAGATCGAGATCGAGAGGAAAATCACTCAGTATTTTAAGCCATTATATACCATTTAGAAGAAGAAAAAAAATCAGTAATTTGTTTTGGAAAAACTAGGTTATATTTAAACCCATCTGCAGCCAATGTAGCAGGCACAACTGAACTTTATTTCAACTACATTTAATCAAAAATAAAAACAATTGGTCTTTTTTAAAGTTTATTCACCACTATAATGTTTTCAGCAAGAGTCAATATTCAATGTCGAGATTTTCAGCTTCATGCATGTTCCAGTTACAATTCATGAATTACAATGCATCTAATATGTATTAAGAACAGGAGTGAAGCATAACTGAGCAAAAAAATCAAACTATCCTTAGGTCACCAACGAGCCTCTAGCTCAACCTGTATGTCCTCGTCTAACCTACGAGAGGTTGAGGGTTGAATCCCCTACAAGGTATAGAGGGTGTGTGCATTGAGTTGGGTATGTGTTCTTACATACCAAAATGAAAAACAAAATGCGCATCAGAAAAAACTGATAGGTATATGTCCTAATTTAATAATGAAAGGAACTATATGTCTTAGTTACATGATGAAAGGAACTGTATACATTGATCCAAATGCACACCAAAAAGTCATATACAATAAATGTATTTCCTACGGAACAACTTTATGCTAATGGTAAAACAGGTGTTTTATATGGTTAGATTTCTCAAGATACATACCAGACCCAAATCAAGCTGTGCACCAGACCATGCTTCAAGAGATTGTCTTGTACTTGTGCTGTAGCTTTTGTAGTGAGAATCGACGTCGGTGTCCTATACAAAAATGGCTTGTTGTAGTAAGTATCTGGTAGAATAATTGCAGAATTTTCTTAAGCCATAATAATCAAGACAGATATCTCCTTCGGGAAAAACAAAGTTTAATTATATGCAACAATAGCATTAAATTACTGTTTTTCTTTTCTTTTCTTTTCTTTATAGGCATAAAATTACTGAACTAAAATTTTTTGAAATCCACCGATACTGAAAGATTACTTATTTACCGAAGAAAAAAAAAACCAAAAGATGAAACCAAGTCAGTATTACAAAGGTAAATCCCCTCCACTGGGAAACTCAAGAATGTGCCTGGAGCTGTTTAATTTTTACAGATTTGAGTAATAAGCCAACTTGCATTGACATCAAACAAATGAAAAATAAGAAGGTACGTGGACAGGGAAATGTCTACCATTTCAGAAGTACTTACAGGGGGCAACATGATATAAGAACTGCACAGTGACTATATAAGTGAATTTACTAATAGACTCTCTAAAATAATATTTAAGGACCATAACCGTGCCTCAAATAATTCAGTTAAAGGATCTTTCTTAGACTCTTGTTGTCTCCTTCTTCTCCTTGAATTCCCCTGAAAGTTGTCAAACTCTCCTTTTAAACTGTACCGAGTTTTCTCCAATACATCTTCTAGAAACAACTCTGCCACTGGGAAAGGCAGTCCCTGATAAATGTCATTGGAAAATATTGAGTAAAAACAAAGTGCACTAAGAACTTTCTAAATATATATAATTTCAGACCATTATATAAACTGATCAACAGTACCGGGATATGAATGGTCGGAGCATTTCCAAAGTATTTGGAGAACAATTCCGCATTAATGGTAGCACTCATTAGAATAAGACGGAGATCTGGACGTCGAGGAAGAAGGTCACGCAAAATTATTAAGAGGAAGTCCTCATTCATGCCTCTTTCATGGATTTCATCGACTAGCAGATGGCTAACTCCAGTTAAATTGGGATCTTGAACCTGTTAGTTTATAACATCAAATTCAGGAAAGAAAGAAAAAAGTTTCACCGTGTGTATATCATTATCAGAATAAGAAGTTGGGAGTTTTCCTATGGACTATTTACAAGAAATTTGTTATTCAAATGGCATCGGAGAGTACACAAAAGATTTGGGGCTTTTGGAGCATCCTACAATTCTACATCCACCCATCAGTTCTAGTGGCATTTTACAGTCTCCAAATAATGTTATTAAGAGGAAGTCCTCATTCATGCCTCTTTCATGGATTTCGTCGACTAGCAGATGGCTAACTCCAGTTAAATTGGGATCTTGAACCTGTTAGTTTATAACATCAAATTCAGGAAAGAAAGAAAAAAGTTTCACCGTGTATATATCATTATCAGAATAAGAGAGTTTTCCTATGGACTATTTACAAGAAATTTGTTATTCAAATGGCATTGGAGAGTACACAAAAGATTTGGGGCTTTTGGAGCATCCTACAATTCTACATCCACCCATCAGTTCTAGTGGCATTTTACAGTCTCCAAATAATATTTTTATCAATGGAGGATCAGAAAATTGTGCTTCAAGTTATATGTAACTCAAACAAGAACATAACTCCATATTATGCAAATTCCAATTCATAAAATTATTCATTTATAAATAAGGAGGAGGAGGAGGAAGAGCAGGAAAGGCAAAACATAGAATATAAGTGATTGAAATAAAAGCTAAGAGGAAGTCCTAGCATCTTACAACAAATATAACACGTGACTATGTGAGTAACATCACATTACCAGCTGTCGAAGTAATACTCCTGTGGTGCAGAATAACAGCCGTGTTTGAGCAGAGCGCTTTGCCTCCAAGCGGATCTGGTAACCAACAGTTTCACCAAGACTCTCTCCCCTTTCTGAGGATATCCAAGCTGCAACAGAGATGGCAGATATACGACGGGGTTGAGTGCATATTATGCTGCAATTGGAACCACGTAGAGATGATATCTCCTCCTCTAGAATGAACTGAGGGAGCTGTGTAGTTTTGCCACAACCTGTCTCCCCTGAAACCACCAATACCTATATTGCCAAACAAAACGAGTAAAATCAGTTGCAATAATGTAAGAAGTAATAGTGTTAGTCACAAGCGCTAGTACTGGAGGAAAATAAATGTACATAAATCATTAGCTAAATATGCAAGTGATGCATAGAGATGACTCAAAACAATAGGACTGTAACTTTACCCATTGAAAGATGAGGATGGGGAAACAAATTGACCAACTTATACCAGGAAGCGTTACTGCTACCAAGTAATGTGATGCTTATTGAGAGGTAAGTGGATATGGCCTTAGAGCATTTCCAAAGAATTGGGGAAAGGCTTTGTTGAGTTGAGTTCCAGTATATTGTAAATTGTGCTGAAGAGTATGCACAAAAGACCTGCCATTTTTCTGCCTCTTCTACCAGCCAAAATTTTCTCTATGATTTGTAGAGTTTGACACCATTACTTCAGGTGCTTTATTGCATATGGGTGAGTTTTCCATTGGAGGAAAACTTCATAAACTTTACTCATAATATAACTTACAGGTATAGAATACAAGCACATAGGAAACTCCGTAAATTGAAGTTTTTTCATATTTTTTCCAGAGTCAAAGACCATAGAGTTTTAACTTTTAGGATATCACCAGTAAAGGCGGTGGAAACAAATGTCATATTTTGAATATATATCTCATTTAAATCCTAAATTTCAATGTTATGAATGATGGATAGAATTTTCTTTGTTTTGCAAGTAATGATAGAAGGAATATTGGACACTTGTGTAAATGAAAACAACTAGTTATATATTATAATTCTAAAGCATTAGATTTTTATGTGAAAAATATTGTTTTTAATCTATTCTAATTAACATATCATTCATATACAGTTATACTACAAGACACAAGCAATATAGAGAGTACTAATATTGGTACTTGACCCACAATCTAACAAATATAAATTTCTATCAATACAAATATACTAGAACAGTAAAACACTGAAGGAGACAATATGAATTTGAGATCATAATGGCAAACTCCAGGAATATTACATGTATTGTACCAATTTGGCACTAAAAAAATATTACTCCTTTTTTTTATCAAAATGATAAAGATGATGGTGGTGGTGATGCTATGTGATTGCTAGCTTTGATCAGACAGATATATACCTGATTTGCTGCAACAGCTTCCAGAAACTCAAATTTCACCTTAAATGCAGGAAGCTTTTCTCTGAATGACTGCATTGCCTTCACACTCTCACTTGCCTGCAATTAAAATTAACTACACACGCTAATCGGAACTCTTGGAAGTTAATCCAAAACTATCCGCGTTCCCGGAAAGCTATAATAACAACAGCTACAGATGTCTTAAATCAGCCAGAGTAGAACATGTACCTTCATTCTTTCCTGTCTTTGTTTCAGTTCGGTGTTAAGTCTCTCCTTACAATTCTCCAACATTGGGATAGGTTTTGTTATATTGACATCACGAGAAGATTGTTTTGGACCCTGAGAGGATGCACTTGGCAAATTATCATCAGATACTGTCCCTTGTGAACTATCCAATAGATTCCCAACTCTTCTTTCAGTTTCTGTAGACATTCGTATCTGCAAAATAGTTGAAAATGAAAAACAAAATGTTCATTGTAGTGATATTACACTACTCAGTGACATTATACTACTCTGTGAATTCGATCACTTGTACCTCTTTTTGTGTTGATCCATGACGTTCATCAAGGTCTGCCCGGTAATTTGGCAATGGAACTTTGCTCACAACAAGTGTGTTCCCTTTGTTGTACGCATGGCTTTCTTTCGACAAATATAAAACCACAAAAGAAATAGTAAGATTAAGCTTAATCATGATTACTAAGAAAGGAGTATTCTTCGAATCAAGGTCTTACAAATTATTCAGCTTTCACATTAAACATTGAAGTGAATTCCAGCAAAACAAAAAAACACTTATGACCCATCTGAAACACTTTAGCCATGCTACTAAATTTAATAACATATTATTCAAAAACCTAAATACACATTTTCCAGATTTTTTTAATTTAGATTATGCTACTATTTCATGTTGTTTCTTCATTTTGCACGTTTTGCATACCCACTTCTTTCAAAGAAATTTCTTTTCACCCAGAAAGAAAAATGAGACTCGAGGCACATCACGTATATGTTGCTAGGCCTAAAGATGCCCTAATTGCAAATTGGAATTTGCCCAAGCACCTTATGATCACGTCTCATAAAGAAACCATGACACCTCAAAAAAAAAAAAAACCATGATCACAGCGGCTCTATTTACAACAGTAACAAGTTCCAATAAAACATGATTCACGAAGGATTATAAGTACTCCATGTAGACTTACAAGTAAAGCCCCAGCTCAAAAGCCATATCAGACAAAGTTTGCTGATCTCCGCGGCTGTAATTACGCTTAATTATCATCTCCTCCTCTCCACCTGTCTTCATTTGCTCCATCTTACCCCACCACTCATTCTCATCAAGAACCTCCATCTGACCAACATCGCCATCGTTTTTAGAAAAAGAAAAAGGTACACGGATATACACATCACTATATTTATACGTATATATGAATCTGGAATTGCAATTTCTGATAGTGCCAAAAATCTAGAATGAAGAATAAAACGGAACATGTGTGGAATGGTATAAACATACACACACCTCGACTGCGTTTTGTCTCAGACGCTCGGCTCGCCAGACGGGATCCCACCACCGCTGCTCGCCGCGTCCACCGCCTCCTCCACCGCCACGGCGCCCGCCGCCTCCTCCACCGCCACGGCGCCCGCTGCCGCGTCCTACGCCGCCGCCTCGTCCTCCGCCACGCCGCCCACCTTGGAAGTTGGGGCGATGAGACATGGCTATTGTTGAGATGCGCAGACTAAAATGGAACCTCCTTAGCGCTGGCACGGAAGATGAGAACACCAAAGTGCTAGTGCCCAAGAGGCGAAGAGACATTAAGCACAAGTGCTGTCAGACTAGAGAGAAGTTTATATGTACTCTCGTGTACTGGGTCTGGGATGTGATCCTCTCGGACACCTTCTTTATTTTTCATTTTTTCCCGCAATACCTTCTAAAAACATCTATAGCAATATGTTAAAAAAAAAAAATTATGTAAAATATACACCGTAAAACAATTGTTATAACTAAAAATAAATAATTTAAATTTTTTTTATATAAATTTTTTATAACACATTAAATTTATACCAAAAAATATATATATACACAACGATTGATAATATTAAGTTACGCTAACTTAAACTTGCTTTTTATTCGTTAGGGATAAAAGTGGAGGAAAAAAAAGAAGAATTGAACAAATTTTTTTGTAAATAAAAAGAGTAACAGTGTAGATGGGTTATCCTACGTTCTTAACAAATTTTTATCTCTTTAAATATGTAAAAAAACAGATAGTGAAAGACAAGTAATGTTATTATGAATTTTTTTTCTAAATAAGCAGGAAGGCAAGTGGTGCATTCTCTTAAATATATATATATATATATATATATGTTGTACTTCTTTATAGACTGATGGTGATTTAGGCACGGTATTTATGGCAAAGCTAACTGTGGCACCATGCCATTCTCCTATCTAACATATGTGTGACCCTTCCAAGTAGGACCGACCTATTAATTTTAAGAGCGTAGTTTATACCCATCTCTCTCTTTTCAGAGTATCCGCACCGTCCTAAGCTAAAGCCGAATTTTAGCGATTTGGAGATCTAAAATCACTCCATCATATTCGCAGAATTGGGCGTGGCCCACAATAGCTCCTGGGCCGACTCACGGAATACCGCAAAACCGAGTTCAATCGTGGGAATTTTTTTTTGTTTTTTTCCTTAACCAAAACTTTTAAACGGTTAGTACCGAACAGTTAAGGTACTGGTTGGCATAATGGTTTTTTTTGAAAAAATCCAAAAAAAAATAAATTTTGAACTCATTTTAAAAATAAAATAAAATAAAATAAAATTCATTAAATAAAAAATATATTGTTTAGGTACTGTTTGTCCAAAAAAAAAAAATTTAAAAAACCTTTTTTTTTTGTTTTTCCCTTAAAATTTGTTTTTATTTTTATTTTTATTTTTTTGCTTTAAATTTTTAATGTCTGCCACAAATAGTGTATTTGGCTATTTAAATTTTTTTTTCCCTTAAAATTTGTTTTATTTTTTTTTTTTGTAATTCTTAGTCTATTTATTTTCTTTTTCCAATTTAGGATGTTGTATTGTTTAATTTATTTTTTTGTTTTTAATCCATAATGGTTAATGTATAGTTTAAAGTTATAATATCAATCTTAGTTTTTTTTAATAATTTGCAAAAATATTATTTGATTCAAAAATATTACCATTGAGAAACAATATCATTTTAAATATTAAAAAACCATTACATAATAAAATTATAGCATACGAAATATAGCCGTTTGGAAAATTAAAAAATTATATACATACATATATATATATATATATATAGAGTGAAAATTCAAAGAGCTTGATAGAGTGCATATTTCTGGAGAGCGAAAACTGCTAATGTAACTCTTAGAAAAACTAAAATGGTATTTTTGGGGAGCCAAATTCGAAGAGACTGGTGGAGATGGCCTTAGTCATAAGTAAAATTATGATGTCCTTCCTTTTCCCTCCTCATTCCTCGGTTAAGGAAGGTTTCTTTTTTCTCTTTTTTTGTTGTCAATCCTCTAAAAAAGCAAAACAAAAATAAAAATCATGTTTTATAATATCTTTTATTTTTCTATAATAGAAAACGTTTCTTTTTTTTTTCTTTTTCTTTTTTTTTTGTGACTAAAAGAATAAACATAAAAAATATGTTGTTTTTATGTTTTCACCACTAAAAGGCCAAAAAGTTTTCACTATTATTACTAATACTAATGCTACATATAAAATATTAATAAAAATATATATTTAATATATAATCATATATTAAAATAGTGTAAATTATTATTTTTATTTATTTTATATAATATTATTAAATTATTATGTAACTGATATTTTATATTATTATATGCCTATATGGCTATATTATATTATATGTAAATATTAAACTATAACTAATTTATAATATTATAATACATTGTATGTTTTATTACATATAAGATATATTATTTAATATTTAATATTTTTATATTATATTATGTGTTAAATATATTATATATCACGTGATAGTATATATACATTTATTGTGTACATGATGCATATACATATATAATTGGTGAGAATATTATATTTATTATAATATACTATATGTTAGATATATTATATACCACATTATAAATATATACATGATGCATATACATGTACGTGCATCCCTAATCGGTTAGAATATTTTTGTCCTAATATATCTTCTTTTGTAGTTATATATTTTGTATTATTAAGTTTTGTGATTTTAAATTAGACATTGTATTTTATTATCATGCACCGAGTATTATTAATATCTCTAAAATAATTAAATTGCATACATATTTTAAGGCTTTCTATTACTAATTAAAAAATTAAAAATAATCTAATTTTTTTAAAAATATTATGTACATCTTATAACAAATATGTATTACTAAATACTATTACTATTTCATGCTTTTAAAATTGTGGCAATAACAAATGTTAATAAACTTTATTTATACTTTTTACTTTCATGAGTGAAAGCCAAATCATGTTTCTACTTTTTCAAAACTGATAAAAAATTAAAGCAAAAACATTATTGTAATGTATTCAATGATTAGTATTAGTGAGAAGATTCATTTTTTTTTTTCTCTCTCTCCTAGTTTCCTTTTGACATTTGTGACTTTTGATTTTCATTTGTTGTATTATTTTATTATTAACCTTGTTATAATGTAAAATCATAATTATGAAAGTAGAAGACATCACGTGTCGTTTGTATGATTGGATTATTCTTCATGCCTAGAAGTCTGTGCTCGAGTCTTGCACTTTCCCTTTCTCTCTAACTACTACTTTCCCTTTCTCTCTAACTACTAGCATTCTTGCTACGGAAAATATATATCAAAAGACAAGAATATACAAACCTATATATCAAAAGACAAGAATATACAAACCTTAAACCTAAAGGAGGTCTATAACAAATAAAATCCTAATATTTTAACAAAGAAAAATAATAATTACACCGAAGTAACTCTAAATTCTCTTTCTTTCCTTTTTCTCTCTCCTTACTTATCTTCCCTACAAATCAATAAATCAGTTTTTCTCTCTCCTTTCTCATCTTTACTGCTATTAATCTCCTTGCATCAGGCATTTCCAATCATGAATGCCCACCTTCTTACCGTCTCCCTGACCACTAGCGGCAATCTAATCTATTATATGAAAGATATAATATCCATATATATGGTATTAAAGTTATAACAGAAAATTGTACATCGCGAATTGATATTTTTCTTGATTGATGAAGATAATTATTTAAAATTTAATTTTTAAAAAAAAAATTTGCAGGGACGCCTTATTTCACTTTGATTTCCAAAAAGACGTCGGTATTTAAAACTCTAATTTTTAAAAAAGATTACATACAATACAAGTACAAACTATATAATAAAATAAAATATTAAAAAAAGGGTTTTATTTGTGATATTTTTGAAGTTAAATTTGCAAGGTTATGAGCAGTGGTGGTGATTGACGTGCTTGGATGACAGGTGGTTGTTTGTATTTTGGGAGAGACGACCTACGTGTTTCAGTAATTACTTTAATTAAGAAACGCGTGAATTTTGATAACAAAGAAAATAGGTTAGAGTCTTCGATGTGAGTATCAATACTCTTTAAAAAATTCCAAATCTTTAACATCATGATTCATGATCACCTGTCTTATTTAAAATTAATAACTCCGTCCACCTTAACTATCTTTCTCCTTCTATTTCATTACAAATCATATTTCCTTTAATATTTAATGCGTTAGAATATTTTTTAATTAATTTATTCCATGTTAATTTCGGGGGTTTTCACTTTTTCTGACCTCTTAGGTAAGTACATCTTTCCTCTTCAGTGATTCACCTAAAATGTTAAATTTAGATTTTTAATATAGATGACTTTTTAGTAGTCAACTTATTTGGCCTTTGTATACTTTAAAATTTATTTTTTTTAATATAAGAAAAAGAGAAAAAATAGCAAAACTTATAATCCAAACCCTAATATAACTCAATAATTTGAATTTAATTCTGCCTATATATTCGTTTGAAACACCCTTCAAATAATTAAAATTAAAAATTACATGTTTTTACAAGTATTTTTTAGTAAATAAAAACCCTAATTTACATAATTTCACTTAAAACTTTTTATAGTTATATTTTGATTTGGTATTTTCTGATTACGGTTAAATTTTTAAGAGATACCTAAAGATATACAGAAGTTGAGAAAATGAAGAAGAGAATATATATATAAAATAAAAAATATTAGTAAAGAATCCAGTATAATTGTTTGCTCTTATTTTTTTTCTTCAATTGTTAATTTGTTTAGTTTATTAAAATAGGAAACACAGATGTATAAAAAAATAAAGTGTATTATGTATATAGAGGACATTCATATTTTTTTAGTTATTGTCACATCAGATTCAACATACAATTTCGAATTAAATTTCTAAATGTGTAGTAACAATCAATTATTAATTGTCGTAAAAAATTATTAGATAGTTTTAGACTATATAATCCAGTCCAATCAAAATTCTCCAACTAAGAAATGTGAACCTAATGTTAAATAAGATTATCTAAAAGTGAGTTATAATTGTATTGGACCATCAAATGACCTGTAGTCTGAGCATAAAATAATTAATTCGACCTAAAAGAGTAAAATAATTTATTCATCCTCATTAAGTATCAATTTATTTTATTGAGCAAAAAAAAAAAAAAAAGGTATCAATTTATTAATTTCATATCAAAGAAAAAATACTTACCTACTCAGTGAGTTGGTGATCCCTATTCAGAGTCCAATGTGATCAAATCCCAAATACTTTGTAATTAAAAAATAGGAAAGTAATAAATAAAAAATAATAATATTTTTTTTGGGAATAAATTCAGCCACCACACACCATTTTTTCTTACTTATTACTTTCCTAATTTTGTAGTTACACATGTGTATTTGTGATGATTGGACCACATAAACGATGAATACAAATCACCTACTTATGATGAGTAGGTAAGTATTATACTTTCACTTAATCTCCTTCTTCATACCTTATTTTCTTTGCCTATAAATTTTGCATTATTGTTCAAAGTAATTTAAAAAAAGATTATTATACCTAGCTAGATAGAATTAACATGGAAAGCCATCAATCTGTGAGTAAGTTTGGGTTGCTCATGGCTCTCATTGCTTTCACTAGTGGTTCAATCGGTACACTTGGTGATGATTGGCAGTGGAATAAAGCTCACGCAACATTTTATGGTGACATGGAAGGCGGAGAGACTCTGCGTAAGTTTACACTGATTATTTCCAGTCTTTTTCATAAGGACTATCATCATGATGTGGTCTCATGATATATAATATTTCTTCCGGCTCAAAAAGAGTATCGTGTGTTTGGGGATTGTGATTTACAAACTGTGTGTAAAAACTCATCATTTTTATTTGCATATTTATCTCATGTCGAATTTTGATTAATCAGAGTATATAATCTCTAGACAATTATACTTTTATTGCAAGGAATTCTTAGACCATCATTTATCTCAAGCTCTACATCATTTGTTTCCTTCGTCTATTCATACCCGCACTCAATTCAGGCTATTAGCTTGTTTTTTTTTACGTGTTAGATGGGAACACAACTGACATGATACCAGGGAACTAAACTGTGAGAGCTTCATATGTATTAATGTGTGTTTTGAGTAAATTGGTTAGTAGGTGTTCCATTCTCACCTCTAATGCGATTCAATTACAATTACACACATCCTATTTAATTATAAAATTAGTGAAGTAATAAATAAATAAAAAATAGAAAAGATGGGTGACTGATTTACTAAAAAAAAAATTGTTTTCTTTACTTCTTCCTTGATTCTGTGAGAATTGAGAGGAGTCCGTATCTAAGTATTGTCCATTAAATATTAGATATATATAATTGATAGTTTAACATAGTATATGGTATAAGAATTTTAAGATCCATTAATTCCTCTGCTGTTTAAAAATTTTGGAACAATTGATTGATAGTAATATTCTCAAATGAAACAATTGATTGATAGTAATTATGTTTTTAAATTTGTGAGATTATTTGACATATATATGTGTGTGTGTGTGTGTGTAATTCATGACATACTCTAATTAATGCATATATGGGCGCAGAGGGAGCTTGTGGATATGATAATGTAATTAAGCAAGGCTATGGACTGGCGACAGCTGCATTAAGCACAGCCCTATTTAACAATGGAGCGACCTGCGGAGCCTGTTTTGAAATATATTGTGTAGATTCACCATGGTGTATTAAAAATGCTGGTTCAATCCAAGTGACTGCCACCAATTTCTGCCCTCCCAACTACACAAAGACTCACGACATTTGGTGCAACCCACCCCAGAAACACTTTGACCTCTCCATGCCAATGTTCCTCAAAATTGCAGCGTACAAAGCCGGGATCGTCCCGGTTTCGTTCCGCAGAGTGGTGTGCCAAAAGAGAGGCGGTATACAGTTTGAGCTCAAAGGAAATCCCAACTTTTTGCTTGTGTTGGTGTTCAATGTTGGAGGCACCGGGGAAGTGGCGGGTATGAAGGTGAAGGGTTCAAAGACCAACTGGTTGACCATGACTCGCAACTGGGGCCAAAATTGGCAGACCGGGGTACCCTTGCAAGGACAGAGCTTGTCCTTCCAAGTCACTGCCAGTGATGGTAAGATAGTGGAGGCCGATTTTGTTGCGCCACCAAATTGGCAGTTTGGCCAAACATATCAATCATCTAAAAATTTTTGGTGATTACGTGTTCCTGAATGTACGTCTTTAAATAAAGAAAATCAACTCATGCATGTGTGCCAACATTAATAATGAATTATATATTTCTAAAAAAAATTCAAAAACATCCAATGAAAACACCCTAAACAGTTTTAAAATTCAAATCGAATTTCAATTAGAATACCAATACTGTTCATCGATCCAGTTTAAACTTCGACAATATATATACGTACTATATATAAACTATATACAGTACCTCGGATGCAATTGCATGATAACATCACATATGCAACGCGTACGATGACACACATCAAAACAATCCAACCTAATAGTAGTACTGTTGCTGTTGTTCAGGCTCATATATTCTACAGTACTTAATTCCATGGCTTCACAACAAACAGAACAATAAACAAGATGATAATAAGCAACAATATGATCCCATAACAGCTCCACTTTCTGCTATTGATCTGTAACCTCTTGGCCTTGTGGAGCTGCTGGGTTCCACCTCTGACGTAGGAGTTGGCCCTGGCCACCTGGCTCTCAATGTCGTCCAGCTCCTCTCCCTGGGCTTGCACCAGCACAGCCATGTCCATGAACACTTGGTTCAGCTCTTTCAGGTTCCTCTCAATCTCCTTCACCGCCTCGTGCCTCTCCTGAATCTCCATCACTGTCTCAATCACTTTTCCCCTCCCTTGCTCCTGAATTGCTGTTGCCAAGAACGTCTCGCTCTCTCCCGTCGATATCAGCCGGTCTATCACCGCCTCCTCCGCGTTCTATATAGATAGAGATCACATTCACCACCAAATTAGACATACATGATTCTTTTTGGTACAAAATTATCAACACCAGGCCAAAGCCGAACCACCACATTCTTAATTTTTAGCTATACATGGAAAAAATGATAAATTCATTCCAATATGTTCTTTAAAGAATACTATATAACTAGTAGTAGTAGGGGTCAATCTTTATAATTTTCATAGGATAAGAATTTCAGACTCCAACTAATTAAGTTTAATTTTGTCAAACAAAAGGCTATGGATAGTAGATCGAGTTCATAGTAAATACTAAAAAAAAAAAAAAATCCAAAACTATTATGAAAAAGAAATATTAAAAAAAATATATAAATTGGTAATTTTCATGTGAACTTTTGTGTTTTCAAATCATAAAATAATATTATCATATAACTTTCTAATGCAGTATAAAATTTTCATTCAAACCAAGTACATCTATAATTCTATATATGTATGAAAAAAATAAAAAATAAAACTGTTATAAGAATAACAAGTACTCGGTCAATATGTGCGGGCTGTGACAAAAATAAAAAAAATAAAAAATAAAAAATAATAAATGTGGGCGGACCCACCAGCCCTCTCTCGTACCTTAGAAAATAAATCATTTTCCACGGTCAAATTATACACATATCCAACGTATACGAACTTTTTTCTTTTCCTTTTTCTTTTTTTTTTGTTATCCTAACGTATACGCACATTGACAGCGAGAGTTTTTTTTTATTCTTTTATTATTATTATTATTTGGCAAATAAGTAGCAAATCAATCTTTATAAATTTCATCGTGAAAACTTGAAATAATAAAATGAGGAGAGATGACTATCTATCAAGAGAATCATGCCTCATCGGTGGAAGTCCAGTGCCTGCCTCCCTCACAAATAAAACGTAAGACCTTAAGACTTCAATGAATGAAAAAATCAAGTAAAAAGATTGAAGAGAAATAATTCAACGAATTCGCAAATTATACAAGTTTTTTTTTTTTTTAGAAAAAAGAAGACTTTATTGGGTCAATATTTTTATTGTGAATTAGTTATTGGAGTATAAAATAAGACAGTTGCAGGGAATTAAGTTTGTGTCTCACCTTTCCGGTGACCGTATAATAGCGGCGTTGAACGGTATCTCGATACTCGGTAGCAATCTGTTGGCGGAGGCTGTTGAAAGAATTCATGGAGTCCTGCAGTTTCTTGCGGAGGCCGTTGACGACGGACGTCCTGGTCCGGTCGGAGGAGCTTCCGGGTCCACAGCCGGGGAGGCGGCGGCTATCGGCGTTGGAGCGGTCAAGGGACTCGAGACGGGTTTTAATGAGCTTGGCCTTCTTGAGCGAGGAAGTAACGTCGTTGTCCATGCGTGATCGGAGGTCCTTGACGGACTTGGCGTTGTGGAGGGTCTTGCTTTGTTCATGAGCTGTTTGAAGGTTCTTGTAGAGGGTTTCCACGTCTCTGAGCTCATGTTTAATGGCTTCCACATCTTTGAAGAACTCATCCAGGTTGACCCCGGCTCCGGTGGCCGATGAATCCGACAACTCAACTTCACCGGAAGGACGTTGGGGAGAGGGAGAGAAAGAGTTGGCGAGGAGGTCATTCATTTTGAGTACTGCTTAATACTATTTTGATGCAACTTGTAATGGAGTAATCAGGGCTAGAGGTGGATTTGGGAGAAGATGAAATAAGATTGGCTTTTAGAGGAGAGGACTGGTTTAATTTCTAGAGAGAGAGGGGGGTTGAAACCGCGGGAAGCGTCTTGAATGGCTGCGGGTTGGGTAATACTCGTCAAAGAAGTTGCCAGTTCAAATACTCGTCAAAGAAGTTGCCAGTTCTAGATGAGGAGAAGAGAGAGTCAACTGGTGTTAAGGATGAATTGCATATATGTGTAGAGAGAAAGTCTCAGGAAATACATCAGAAAGAGGGACAGAAAATGATTTCAAATATAAAAATTGTTCCGTAATTTAATATTATATAGGGTAAATTATATTGACTTGTTTAAGGTTTGAATAAATTATATATGGTAAAATTTGTCTTTATGTTTCAATAAATTATATGCAAATAGGGCGTTTGACAAAAAGTTAGCGTTTGACAAAAAGTATTTCACTGACACAAGGGATTAATTTACTTCAAAAAAAAAAAAAAAAACCTTAATTACACATTATTTTCTCTTTCACAATCTCAATTCCCTTTTTCTTTTTACAATTTTCTTTCTCATATCTATATCTATATATAGAGTCTTCAAACTCAAATCACTATTTTCTCTTTCACAATCTCAATTCTATTTTTCTCTCTACAATTTTCTCCCTCATATCCATATCTATTTATAGAGTATTCAAACTCAAATCCTTGTTGGACAATGATTAATTTGCTTACAAGGAATTACTATATCAGTCACCAACTTTAAAATAGATATACAACTTCTTCCTCAAATCTTTGGTTTTTCCCCCCAAGGCTTTCGCTTCCAAAACAAATTAGGAAACTGTTTCTCGCAACATCCAATAACTCACATTAGGAATTTGTTTATCGCAACTTTCAATAACTTACTGTCCAAGTTGAACCTATACAACCCCAGTTGAACCGGTTCAACTTTTGCAGTAACCAAATCCATAAAACTACACACACATGTTGAACCAGTTCAATCCCACTTAAATCGGTTCAACTTTGACAATAACCAAAGATAATCCAAAATCCGCAACTTTAAATACCCCAATTCTTCATGTTATCAACACGTGATCAAAATATATCTTCACCTTGAACAAAATATCTTCATAGCTCCACCTTAACTAAAGATTTCACCACCTCAAATAAAGCACTACGGTGAAATTGAGAAACACTCTAACAAAAACATCTTAATTAATTTTATATTTTGATGAAATGACATACATTAATTTTAAGTAAGGTAATATAGTGTTTATCGGCAAAATATAAAAAAGGTAGTAGAGTCTTTTGATTTGATATATATTTTTTATTAAACTAATATTAAAATAGATAAGAATATAAAAGATATTTCAAACTTTTGGGAGAAGTCAAAGTAATAAAGGTGAAATATTCTATCAATATGTAATTTATCCAAACCTCAGGAGAGGTCACTATAATTTACCCTAAATTAAACATGGAAAGACCATTTAGTGTTTAATGCTTTAACCTCCTCTAAACTTGGCCATAGCAAAAAAGTGACTTTTTAATGAGAAAAGTCAATAATGTCCTTATATTATAATAATATAATCTCTTCTTCCCAAAATAAGTCTATTTTTTTAGAATCCAATTTTTTAAGAGATTGATTTTTTTTTTTTTTTAGCGCGTCCACAATAATGTGATAGTTTTCATTTTATAGGTTCAATACAAGAATGTTAAATTGGTAATGTTACCATTTTCAAATGAGACAAGCTTTTTGGAATGGATAAAAATAGAAAGATGAATACTTATTTTGAGACAAGGGAGTGACAATATTGTTGTCGTATAAAATTTGGTAAAAAATTACTAGAGGTGTCATTGAGCTGCGTCAAATTTATAAAAAGGTTAAAATAATAAATCATGGACTGTCTACCAATATATAATTTGTTCAAACCTTAAAAATTAGTAGTGTAATTTACCTTATTATATATGTACTTGGAAAATGCTTAAAAATAAACTTTCTAGTTTCTAAGCTATTGAATGGGATGGTAGGATTTTGGAATTACCTTCTTAAATATTTGAAACTCAAAGAGTTAATCCATTTAATTAAAAATTATATATATATATATATATATCATGCTCTGTTAATAAACTAACAATATAGAAATGACAAGGGAATACATAATTAGAGGGTTAATTGCAAAATTGATATTACACAGGGGTAGACTGGGTAGTTATAGTTTACTTAATAATAATTAAAGGCTCGGGTCAAGAGTTCCTCGCTAGATTAGCCAGATTAATATTGGATGACGTCGTGGAGGTCCAGATTAATAAAGCTCTAAACACTTTCGTCTTGATTAATTACATTGTCGTTTGATTAATTACCTCCTACATCATGCGAATTTCATTTCAAAACTAGTGATATGTTTGAAAATAGTTTCTAAATAAATGTAAAAGGAGATTTTTTCCAATCCGCAAATTGTTGTGACTCTTAATTTTATAGGTAATATGGAACAAATAAATAGATAACTTACCGCTGGTTTATTTGTATGTAAAATATTTTTTTTATTTTTTGTTGGTGTTGTAAAAAATTTATAAAAAAAAACATTAAATTTAATAAAAATAACATATTCATTAATTTTTGACAATTTATTTTATACACCCTACTTGATAGATTGGACCTCAACCTCGACCTTTACATTTACCAAATATGGAAAACTAAAAATAAAAAATATTTTAGCTGAAAAAGAAAAATAAAAATATTTTTCAAAAAAGATATTTTAGGTAAAAAAAAAATTGAGATATAATTTTTTTTTTGGTGGCTAGTGCTCCTACTTTTTTAGTGAGACTAATCCAAGTGAAACACTTAATAGATTCCAATGTCACATGTTAATTTTAATTTTAAAATTTTATTATGAGATACATCACCTTCAATGGTGGATAACATGATTTTTTTTTCTCTTGTATGTTTGGATTTAAATTATTTTTTATTTTTTTGGTGTTTGGTTGTCGTAAAATAGTTATAAAGAAAAAAAAATAAATAAAACTTAACAAAAAGTAATTTATCCATTAATTTTTTACAAGTTATTTTATATGTCCCGCCCGTTAGACTCGACCAACCTTTGCCAAACACCGAAAATTTTTAAAAAATTATTTTATATCGAATTCAAGAGAAATAACATGTTAGATTTTTTCCCCCTACTTTTTACTAGGGACAAATCCCCTTAAGAATGGTATATTATTTGTATTTTAATAAAAAAAAATTATAATGATCTGATAAAAGTAAAACTAAAAAAATGGTCTTCTATTAATTTTCATGACTGAAAATTTATTAAGAATATAAATTCTTATTTAACAAAGCTTTTTTTTTTCAAAGAAAATTATCATTAATTAGAAAGAGAGTTACAATCAATTAGTTGTTGCAAAATGCCAAAAAGACTTTTCTGGACCGATGGTTAAAAAAGGAAAAAAATAGTAAAAATAGAAACAGTGATACTCACGCGGTCTAGTAGCATGTTCTGGGCTCAACTTTAAAGTAGATATTTTGAACTCGAGCCAAGCTCCCACTTCTATGTTCGAGCTCTGGATCAAATCCAGTTGAATTGAAACTGATTTTAAAAAGAGTAATTCTATTGTGCGAGCGCTCTCGCAAAAAGTTTAAAAAGCTCCACCTTATAAGTCACATGATTCATTTTTTAGAAATTTGGGAGAAATAATAAATTAAGAAAGAATCATTTGTAATAAATAAACAAATAATCATTTTTTTCTCTCTCCACGTTCTTTCTTTCTCTCTCTTGATTAACACCTTAACTAATTTGTCTCTTTCTCTTTCTCTCTCTCATAATTAAGCCTTTGTCTTTTCTGTCAAATAGTCTCTCCACCTGCATTCTATCATTGGTTTCTCTCTCTCTCTATGCCATCAATCCGGTTACCAAAGATAGGTGAGGTTTGTTTTCTTGAAGGTTTGATTTTCTCTAAGCTATGAATCAACAAAGCCTTAAACAGATTGAGTTGTTTCCATTATCTCTTGATGAAGAAGAAATTATGATGGATATGAAGGAGGGGGGTGGAAGTTTTAATTGTCTTATGGAAAATTACTATCTAAGAATGTTATCAACACTAAAGGCTTGCATAATATCATGAGTAAGATTTGGGGTTACATAATTATAGTGTGGATGCCTTGGCTTGCATAATATTGTGAGTAAGATTTGGGGTTGCATAATTATAGTGTGAATGCCTTTGTAATGTATACATGATTTTATCAGCTAATATTCAGTTTGAACTTGATTTAGTAGGTGGCGCTACTTTTATTTAGTCTCTCGAGAATCATTCTTCATTCCTTAATGATAACTTGTGATCTTGAAAAAAAGGAAGCAAGCAAAAATTAACAGTTCTTTTTTTCCTTTTTCACATTAATTCTCAACGAATTGAGAGCTCAAAAACCAACAAAAAAAAAAACATAAAGACAAATGATTAACTATGAGAGGAAAAGAAACAGATTCTTTGAGGATTAACTAAGAGACAGAAAGATACAGATTGGTTGAGGTGTTAACCAAGAGAAAGAAGAGAGAACGGGAGAAAAGAGAGAGAAAAAAAGAATTATTTATTTCTTTATTGTAAATGATTGTTTCTTAATTAATTCTTTTCTCAAATTCCTAAAAAATGAATAAACTGGACTTTTTACGAGGGCCTTCTTGCAAAAACATTACACTTTTAAAAATATATATATATATATCACATAAAATACCTTGTTACATAAAATAAACCAACGAACTCATATATCTAACAGAATGTTTTTTTATTAATTATTTATACAAAATACGCTACTGCATAAATCATTTTTCAAATAAAAATCTAATCTACTGTAGTTTTTTTTTTTCCTTCGCTTCGTCATTTATGATTTCCTTGCAGAAAGGAAATTCATTTCTTTGCCCTTGTTTAAATTCCTGTCCCCCAATTTCCTTTACCAACCATTTTGGGAAATCCAGAAGACCTCTCTCTATTTTTGTCTCTACGGGTTAATAGAAGCTCAGCTATGGCGACAGTACGAATGATAGGCAAGTAATTGTCAATTTCATTGTTTTAATTAAGCACCAAATGCATAGTGAACTTCCTAATCATCCCTCTCTTTGTCCTTTCTTTGCCATAAACAGACATAGCCGTTAACTTCACAGGTCAGTCACTTTAAAAGCCACTTTCTTGCCCTAATTGTTTCTAAGCTTATGTCTTTAGACTATATGTATGTATGTATGTATGTATGTATGGTTTCTGTTTGTTGATTTAGCTGAATCAACCCAATACAGATAGCATGTTCAAAGGTATATATCATGGCAAGCAATGCCACGTACCAGATATTCCGGCGGTCTTGAGTAGGGCTTGGAGTGCCGGTGTTGATCGAATCATCGTAAGTCTACTTCGGTTGGCACTCTTTATAGCCTAAGCTCGCAATTCTGCATCTGATCTTTTATGCTTTATAAATTTTTGGTCTTTCATTTGAAATCACCACTTTAAACTGTTTGATTACTGAGAAAATGTACAAAAGGAAAATAAATTGAACTTTTGATTTGTAAAATTGGGAACCTAGTAAATTAAAATCTTTACTTAGTTAAAGCCTAACTCAGCCAATTGGTAAAAAAATGCGACTCAATTATTTATTTATTTATTTATTTTGCCCCCCTTTTTTTTTTTCCTTTCTTTTTATACCAACTCAACAGAGTGTCAAATAATTAAAGGGTGAAATTTCAAGTTTAATGAACACTAATAATTGGGTTTGATTCAGTATTTTGTTTGTTTGTCCTTGACCATGCGGAATCTCTATAATGGAATAGGTTTATGGTCACAGGTCACTGGCGGGTCACTTGAGGAATCAAAGGAAGCTCTTGCCATTGCAGAAACAGATGGTCTATGCATTTCCATTACTTGCTTCATTATCTGCTTTGTTCTTTACTCTCAGCCAACTGGTTTCTTATTTATCTTGGAACTTTATTGTTATGGCAGCAAGGCTTTTCTGCACGGTTGGTGTGCATCCTACTAGATGCAAAGTGGGTTTCCGCTCCTTAAATTCTTCTATTTGTTGGTAATTTATATGTGTACATGCATATCTATGATGCTCTGTGCATTTGGACATGTGGTAATTTTGGCTTATTGTACATTTACTTATTCAGGAATTTGAAGAGGGTGGGGATCCAGAAAAGCATTTTCAGGCACTTTTGTCATTGGCTAAAGAGGGAATTGAGAAGGGAAAGGTGTGTTTATTGTCTTAATTAAAGGAAGACATTAAGGTGCATCGAATATAGATTCTCTTATGATGGGATTTTTTTTTCTCTACAATAATTATGGCAACTTTAACTTCTTTAAGATGGGACTTCAGAATTCAGAGACTGTGTCCCGTAAGAGTATTATGCAACTTATACTTGTTCTTACAACATTTGAGATCCAAAATAACACAGCTTTTCATGCTTATGATATAGAATTACTTTGCAAAAAATAGTTTACATGATCTAAAGCTGGAAAATTGATATATACTTGGGCAATGTGTGAATTAATTCTTTTTTTAGCCTTACGTTTCTCAATCATGCTATATATACTTATAAATGAAACTCATTGTTCATATTGCCTAAAAATTATGAATCGTGCAATTCTCAGTATTGACACTGTTGAGTTAGTTATCCGATCACATTTGTTGGCTTCATTAGACATTCTTCTTCTCCTTCTTTTAATGTTCTAACTCTCATAATTACTACAAGGTAGTGGCAATTGGTGAATGTGGATTGGATTATGACAGGCTTCAGTTTTGCCCATCTGAGATTCAAAAGAAGTATGTTCTCTAACTTCTTCTTTTTTTCTCCTTTTGCTAAATAATTATTCAAAACTATTTTAGGCATTTCAGTTATATATATTTTATTTCTCATTGTTTTCCTTCATATAAATGATTGTGTGTTTCCTATTCTGTTCACGTTGTAAATAATAGGTATTTTGAGAAGCAGTTTGAATTAGCTTATTCCACAAAGCTTCCTATGTTTCTGCATATGCGGGCAGCTGCTGAAGATTTCTGTGACATTATCAAACAAAATAAAGACAGGTAATATTGTGCTGGGTTATATCTACTCCCAGTATTATTTTGTCATGTTTTATAATTTTTAGCTTTGTTCAACTTGACTATATTTTAATGAATAGAAGCACATGACACCAATAGAAGACCACCATTATTATTGTATGTAATGAAGTGATCAAGTAAATGGACTGTCTGCCTTGGATATATTTTTTGTGGTTGCACATATATTTTTATTTTTTTCCCGGTAAGTAAGATTTCATTCAAGAAAAAGAGATAAGAGGACCTGTGCGGAGTACAAGTGGCATCCCCCGGGAGGAAACAAATAGATTGAATGATCACAAAGATATAATCATAGGACTAAACACAAACATCCCAAACAAGGGGAGGGGAGGGGAGGTAACAAAAGCACGCATAAGCAGCAACACTCCAGAACAGTACCACCACAACACAAAGGACTTGATCCAGAGTGTAATAAACAGCAGTTGCAAGGGACTCGGTCCAGATTGTAAAGCTTCTGTGTGGTAGCCATCCACAACACAAAGGAGTGTCTAGGAACAGAGTTAGGGAATCAGAGGAGATGGTGCCAAGGCACGGTAGGACCTCTAACTCTAACAGACTTCCAAACCAGATTAGTACTGAATTTAGAAGGAAAGGAAGAATTCCAAGACAGTTGATCAGGAGTAGAAGAGGGAAATGGGTCTCATATAAATTTTTCTGTAGCAAGAAGATGAAATCTTTAGCTGTTTTGATTTTGCTCAAGGTCCAAAGGTTTGCTCTCATAGGCAATTTAGATAGTTGACTAGTGAATGCTGATTTCATACTATTATAGGAACTGCCAGTGCCTCACACCCGCCCACAAGGTCGCCACAATCACCCCCCCTTGGGGTCCAACATCCTCACTTCCGGCTGGTCAAGCTCTAATACCATTTGTAACGACCCACTCTACCACATGGTATGATATTGTCCGCTTTGGGTCCGAACCCGTACGGTTTTGTTCTTGGACTTTACCCCCAAAAGGCCTCATACCAATTGGAGTTAACACCACCACATATAAGCACTTCATCTTTCCCTTACTTAGGCGATGTGAGATTATGCACCTGTAACTCGCTCAGTGTGGTAGTCTACCAGTGCCTCGCACCCGCCCACAAGGTTGCCACAGACCAGTAGCACCCCTTTAATTAATATAATTGTCTAGGTAAAGTAATTGAGCAATACAAGATGGCAATATGTTTTGCAATTTTTTGTATTGTAGGATTTTTCCCTCTTTTGACTCCTTTAACAATGGTTTAGTTGATTGTTACTCAATAAGAGATTTATTGATAATATGAATGGAGAACAGAAGATAAGATGAGGAAATATGCAGTCTAAGTTGTATTCCTATCAGTATACTCGAAGAAAGTGATACCCTATACTCTTTGGTGAGATTTTCATTTGACGGAGACAGGACTTCCTTATATTAAAGAAGGGAACAAGGTTTGCTGGAGGAGAATCATGACAAAATAATGCCCTGAGTTATTAATACGAGAGGATCATTGTGAATCGTGACTAATGGACTGTAAATGGTTGGACAAATATATTCTCCTACTCATTTTCTCCTCCAGTTCTCTATCTTCTGGTGAACTAAGTTGTAATTGAAAGTTAAAAACTAAATTTCACAGTTTCAATAGAGCTGTTTTACATGACGAATATGTGCCATTATGATATGTTTGTGTTTGATCACATTTTCTCAACCTTGTCTAACAGGTTCTGTGCTGGGGTTGCCCATTCATTTACTGGGAGTGCAGAAGATTGTGAAAAACTGCTTTCATTCAGTAATCTTTTCATAGGTGAATCATGGATGCACTCCCGTTCATCCTTTGGTTTTGAAGCTGTTTCCAGTTGCATAGTTTTGACTCTATATTACGATGTTCAAGGAATCTTGAGAAGTCCACTCTTTTCTTCTTCTTTTTCCCCCCGGGTAATGCACAGGTGTTAACGGTTGCTCCCTGAAGACTCTTGAAAATCTTGATGTTGTAAAGGGCATTCCAATTGAGAGAATGATGATTGAGACTGATTCTCCATATTGCGAAATCAAAAACACTCATGCAGGGGTTAATTTTGTGAAATCTATGTGGCCTTCTAAGAAGAAAGAAAAGTATGATCAAAATTGCACTGTTAAGGGTCGCAATGAACCTTGTTTAGTTAGGTGAGTAAAAATGCTCTCACAGTGCTGCATGATACATTGATATTTTATAAGGAAAACATTACACACACACACACACACACCCATATATACGTGTGTATATAAATTGATTTTTTATAGATGGGAGAGTTTTTCTCTTTTGGGATTTGAGTATTGGGTTAAAAACAGGTGTCCACCAAAGCCGGTGGATTTGAGATATGTGGACCTAGATGTTTGTAAGTCTTGACTTCTTAACAGCAGTATTTGTACTCTCTGCGCATTATGAGTTCTGGCAGTGGTAATGTTGCAATTATGTATGAATGAGATATTGCCAATGGAATTTCGAAAATGGACCGGACTTTTAGTTCATGTGGGAATGAACTGTATAAAAAGAGTTTGTTTTTATTTCTTGATTGTGCTTTTCGCTATATTTTTATATGATCTGGTCATCATCAATTCAGGCAAGTTCTTGAGGTGGTTGCTGGCTGTAAAGGTATCACTGACATAGATCAACTGAGCAAGACCTTGTACCGGAATACCTGCAGGTATGTCCACTGGCATTGTTTCAAGTCTTTTTGGATTCATCTGACTAACTCAGGAATCTAAGAAGTATCACTGGGCATCAGAACTGCTTACTGATGGTTATATTGCCCCTCACTCGGAGATAGATGACACCCCTTACCCTCTGAGAAAGATAAAATGATACCATATCGTAAAAAAAAAAAGTAACAAATAAAAATAAATAAATAAATGGTAAATTGTTCTTTTTAATCCTTAGTTTGATATGAAACTGGGGACTTACATTGTCTGCATCTCCCGACTCCCGTCATGACTTGTTTATTTCTTCATTCATTTTACAGTCCAGAGTTTCATTTGGATGACACTCGTTGTGCAGGGTTTTCTTTCCTCATGACTTGGATACTGCGGCAGATGCTCTTCTTGCCGGTGATCGAGATACTAAGTGAACAAAAACTAGTGACTTTGAGGAATCAGTTTTTTTTTTCCCCTTTCTCAAGGAAGCATGAGTTAACAGTTCTACTATTTTAAAAGTGCTATGTGGCATTGCAACTGAATTATTTCCTTGGGTGAATAAACAAGAGAATTGGATGTACTTTCCGCAATGTAAACTGAATACTCTGTATGAGATACTGCCAGTTCTGGAAATTGATATTGGTTTTTTTCAGAAGAATTTTGGAATAAAGATTATATAATGAACTTCTGCAGATGATGTGTAATTCATAGTAGCAGCATCAGTGAATCACAAATTCAAGCTTGATAGAGGGTTTTCTCTTTACCTGGACCTTGCTGTTTGTTTTTTTTATTTCAGTGATCACACTTGTTTTAAGTATTGATGATTAAATTTAGCACGGTTTGTAGTCGTAACTGTCATATGTATCAAATTGCCAAGATTGAAATTGCATGGAAAAAGATTTGAGAAGACCTTTTCGGTTCTACTGTGCACAGTAAGCAGTAAAGTTTTAGAGAGATCGGACAAAAGTGGGATCTAAGGTTGGATATGGTTTCGAACTTCCCTTTTTTTTTTTGTTTCTCCAGGCAGCTGTAAACTAAATGGTGCTGCTCATGAGTTTGTGCCTAACTGTTCCCTGGTGAGTGTTTTTTTTCACCAATCAAATGAACCAAAATTAACCTCCAAGCTTAAATAAAAGTGACCTAACCAACAATGAGCTGGTGAGATATGATGGACTGAATAGCTGTTCTCGTTATTGTTACTGTGACATGTCATTTGCAAGATTGAAGTAGTAAATTTTTAAGTGGATTCATTGATCCGCATAATTTTATAGGATTGGGAGAGCAATTTGTTCCATGCCATCTAGATGATGGACGATTGTTTCACCGATATTTGCTTTTGTTGCACAAAGTATACAACGTCCAAAAGTTCCTCTTTCTTTAGAATGTTTGATCTTAAACAGCTTAATAAGCCACCCAAGAATCAGTTCTATCAGCATTTCTATTCATACGTAGGAAAAGATGAGGCAAGTAATCTTGCACGTCTCCAACATTTCTAACATCCATAGTTTCAAAGGACAAGGCAATTTGTCAATAAATTGTATACAAATTGTCATTACTTTCAATTCTCAACAACCCAAAATTGTCTCATCTCAGACTTGCAATAAAAAGCTATTAGTAAGGTCATCTGGTTTAACATCTTGATGCTCTGATCTGCATAAACCGTTCCCAAAAACAAACAAGGGGCAGAATAAAGCAACAGGATAATAAGAGCGTCTGAACTTGCAAGTTTGTGCAGACACCCATTCCTACATATTTGCAACTCGTTCTTACATACCCCTCAAGAAGCTAATCTGAATTACTCTTCTACACACCTCTTTCCATCAGCTGCTAATGCCAGTAAGCATCTCACTGCTGTCAAGATTGCCTTCTGGATTGCTTTCCAGTGATGGTGGAGTCGTCGAAGGAGTTCTTTCTGCAGCCAAATTCAAACGTAGAGGTCGCCCTTCCACCTCCTAATTACAGAATTACACAGAAACAAATTACAAAAAATAACCCACTAAAGGTTTCAAGTACAAAAATTATGATTCACAGGTCTTCCTTACCGCTTCATTCATAGTATTGAGAGCAGATTGCACGTCCTCGGCAGATGAAAAGGTGATAAACCCAAAACCTCGAGATCTTCCCGTGTCTCTGTCATAGATGACCTTGGCACTTAATAGACCTGGCTGATCTGCAAAAGCTTCTCTAAGCCCTTGGGATGAGAGGCCCCAGCTGAGGTTCCCTGCATATATTTTGTGAGGGCTGTCTATAAAACCTTGGTAGCTGCTCCGTATCCTTGGTGCCATTACTTCCCTTTCACCACCCTTTGGCACTTCAGGAAAATTAACCTTCACAGTTCGGCCGCCGATTTGCTGTTGACCATGATTACCAGTACAAATAAATTACAAGGACAACGTTGTCTCAATTATTTGCAAGGATTTAAAGCTCCATGGTTGATATTAACAGATCATAGTTTTAGACTTCCTTAAACTTCTACGGATCATAACTGTGCAGGAGATGATATACACTATATATATATATATATTATCAACTTGTTTTCACCACATTTTTTGTATATATATTGATACATATATATACCAGATTTTTTTTCCCAACTACTTAAGGTCAGCTGTATAAATCCTATTTTACCATTCCACTCTATCTAAGGTTATGACTTCAGTTAAACATGTGATCATACCATTCCTTAGGAATTTCTTCTCCTACTATTACCATCAATTATGTCACTCTTTTTAACTGCCAAGCTTAAAGATCTTTTTTGCACATGATCAAACCATCTTAACCGATTTTCTCTCATTTTATCTCCAACCATCTCACGAATGTGATCGTTTCTAATTCTGTTCCGCAACTCTAACCATCTCACAAATGCGATGGTTTCTAATTTTGTTCCTTCTAGTCTTACCATACATCTATCTCAATTTTTGCATATCAATCACATTCACGTTATGCCTATGTTGTTCCTAGCTACCAAACATTTTGTTCGCACAACATTGGCATTTCCATTTTCTACTTCCAGTCATACGAAAGTGACCGTATTTCTTAAATTAATTATGCGTTTAAGCCTTGAAAGCACAAACCATTGAACCAAACTGATCCAAACAGCTCTTGTGCGGTTTGGATTGGTTTGGTTTAGGTGGTTGCGTTCGATTCCAATTTTCATGGAACTGTTTAGACCGGATTGGTTCCAATTTTTCTAAACATCTGGCCCAATCCAAACCGCTTGCACCCCTACTACAACTGTGTCTCCCAAACCCGATTAAAGATATCTAATCTAAATTTCTGCATGATTTTGTTAAAAATACAGCACTATGTTGCCAAAGTTTTGCCTAAAGCTGAAATTTAATTCTTCAGTTTGGATACAGATACATTCACGCAATAGAAAAACTATTGGGTACCTCAGGGGTACTCGTTATTCACCATTTCCCTTGTGTTAGAGGAGCTAATTTCCAGGCTGTATGTTTTTATGGTCATAGCCGTCAAACTTCTGTGTTTCTTATTTCATCATTAATTTTTATGTAATTCAAAACTTAAAGGTAAAAAACTCAAGTAGGCAAGCACTAGGACAAATGTTAGTCATACAACAGTCAGTTTAAGAAAAATATTGCCAAGTGTTAGGTTTTTGTCCAATCTCCCCTTTTAATGCTGTTATTTTTTAAACTAATTTTCTATAATTTGCAAGTAGTTCTAAAAATTTCCAATATAAAGCAGGACAGAAAATTGTTGGTATTTAGTAATTTAAGTACATAATAGGCGGACATTCATTATTTCTTCGAAGTGTACAAGATAGTAAACATATACAAATATGTAATATTTATGCATGAATACAATGGGACTTACAGATCCATCAAACAATCGAATGGCCTCTTTTGCTTCTTCAACACTTGCCATTGTCACAAACGCAAATCCCCTACTCCTATCCGTAACTCGATCATAAACAATCTGCAAAAAAAAATCAACAATTACAAAAATTGAAAATTCACAATCAAATAATAAAAAAAAGAAAAAAATGATTGAAACGGCAAGAAAAGCTCGAAACCTCCACAGAAACCACACTGCCGGCCTCGGTGAAGATTTCGGACAATTGGGACGAAGTCATGGAGTATGGCAAGTTTCCCACGTATAGTCTACCAGCTTCAGCTGACTGTTTCTTAGATTTCTCATCATCATCGTCATCTTCACTCTCTTGAAATTCTTCCGAATCTGTTTCTGATGAGTCTGTGTTTTGGGGTTCTTCAGCGACACCGATGTTCTCGAAAGCGCGGACCGCGAAGGAGCGAGAGAGGAGAGAGAAATGAGGGGAATTGAAGAACTGGGTTTTGATTTTGAGAGCTAATTTGGGTTTTGGTTTTGGTTTTGATGTGGGGATTGGTAGAAGAGGGCATTCAAAGGAAAGGTTTGAGGAGATTTTGTTGGAGAGGTGAAGTGAGGTTGAACAAGTGGCAGTAGCAGCCATGGAGAGAGAAGTAGCTGACATTTTTGTTTATCAGAACAAATGGTTTGATAGAGAGCTCACTCTATAGAGAGAGAGAGAGAGAGAGAGAGAGGTGTTGAATCAGAGAAAAAGATAAAGGGATAAAGTTGTTTGTTTTTCTTTTTCTTTTATTAGATTTTCCTTTTTCTTTCTTTTGTTCTCTTTCAAGGACTGTCACTGACCTGGTCAAAAAAATTACCTTGATACCACTTAATTATGGACTAATTTAAATTTATTTTTGGGTTAGCCAAATTAAAATGATGATTAGATTCATAAACCATTCAAAAATCTACTTTGACATTGTAACCAGAATAAAAGAGATTGAGCTCTCATACTCAAAGCTTCATTGAGTCGAAGCTTTAATTCTTTTACTGCACCATCTTCAATGGCCTCCTGAATAAGGCGTTCAGCACTTGTCACGGCAAATAATACACCAACTCTCATTTCTTCACAAATCATTTCCACACCACTTTCACTTCTCTTTCTTTTTGCTTTTGAAAACTTGCTTCATTACTATTTTCATCTCTAAAACTGGAATTCAAGAGAAGTTTTTGAGAATATAACACCATTAAGTAATAAACCGATTGGAGATATATGTACATTTGCTAATGGAAATGAAAAGAAAGGGATAATTGCAGAGTCTAGACATTTGCAAACACAGAATAAGTTTAGCTCTATTTATTTTATTTTATTTTATTTTATTTCATTTATTTTTTGAGGACATGGCATAAAGTCATTCAACTTAAAAATAAAAATCACATTTGGGATTTTAGTCCAATTCCATTAAAAATAAATAAATAAGGTTTCCGTCCACGTACTGGCAAGACAAGGTGGGGTTCACAAAGCCCGTGTCGGAGGGTTGGGAAACGACTCAACTTGTTTACTACACATCCTTCTTTTTTATAAAACTGCTACTGCATTATTATAGAGCATCTATTGAAATTTGAGACATGTTGTTAAACACCAAATAAATCTTGTGGATGTCATACATTTTGTTACCAAAAATAGTCAAGCTCTTAATATCTGGTGGAGTATATTGGAGGGTGAGATACACCAAATCTTTGAGTTGCTGAAGTAATCCATGAGATGAGATATGAATATTCATTCTGGAATGAGTTTCTAAAGTAATCAATTAAAAATGTGTAGCATTTAATAGGAGATTAACGGGTCCTATCCCCAAATTTGAGATTTTCAAAATCTTCACTCAGGGATTTTGTTACCAAAATATGACGAACTCTTAATATATATCATCATGATGTACGTTTTAGAATGAGAAAAGCACTATATATATATATATATATTTCTCTGATCGATTTAGCACCATTTGAGCCTCACAACAGGCCTCTACCTATATATATATATATATATATATATATATATGGATTGGATAGAAAGGTGACTACACATGCACTTTATTCCAAAGTCTTGCCTTCCTTTTCTTGAGGCATGCTTTTCTAGCACACTCACTATTCACAATTCTTGCCGTGGCTGGGCTGCTATAGTGTGGTGGAGTGAGAATGCAAAGAAAAGCAGCCTCAAGAAAAAGAGGCCAAGCTTGTTAAATAAGGTAAATGTGGTCAGTCAGTTGATCTCTTTTCCATTTATAGTAGTATCTGTGGAGTCAGTCAGGGAAGAGTTTAGAGGTTAATTCAAATGTGTACGCGTTGGAGATGCATGGATGAACCAAAAAGATGACACACCTCCGGCAGCCTTGCAATATCTCCGGTTAGCCGCTAATAGAAGATCAACTAGCAAGGTATGCAATCCATATTGGCAGGTTACAACCGTACTATTGCAACACCGGAAGCGCTTCAACATTCAATCACAAAAATACTATTAGATTACTCTTGCTAAATTAGATGTGAAATGAAGTCAAACTCTTATATATACCCCATACAAAATTTAACAAAAATATCTGAATAAAAAAATATATATACTAAAATCCAGTATTCCACACTGAGTTTTTGAATTGAATTTAAATTAGGTTAGTTATTCTTTAAGTCTCATGATGCAATATTATCAAGTATTAACTAAAACTTACAGGAATATATATATAAAATAGGCTATATATCAAATTTTGAATAAATTTATAACTACAAAATTTTACAATCATGGATAAAAATGATTTAGAACTTGAATGAAAAAATAAATAAATAAAATCTCCAAAGTAAGAGTCCTAAATAAACTTTTTAGAACATTTTTGTCTTTCAATAAGAAAACTAAGATTTGACGTTACTGTGCATACATCAGACATGAGTGAAAGAATAAGATTTGAAGTAAATTTAGGGTTTGATTGAAGAAGGGAATGCAAATTTTTTATTTTTTCTTTCCTTATTTATTTATTTTTGAAAAAAAAAATGACAAATAGAAAATAAAAAATATTTATTCAAGTACACAACTTTGCTTCTTCCCTCCTTAGAGAATATAAATGTTACTTAAAATAAAAAATTTGAAATTCAAATAAGTAAAAAAGAATTCTCAAATCTAACTTAAAATTTAATCTCTTCAAAACCAGCTCTTAAAAAAATTTATTTTATCAAATGGAACCTAAAGTATTTTCTTTATCATTTAATTAAAATCGCTCAAAAATAAAAAATTTTAAAAAAATGGTGTGTTAGCAATATTACCAATTTCGTCTTTGAATCAGTGGCGGACGCAGAGGGGAGCTTGGGTGGGCTTGAGGCCCCCAAAAAAAAAAATTAGTATAGTATGTTCAGCTCAATTTTTTTTTTTTTTTTTTTAAATTTAATAATAGCATTAGCCCCTTTTTAATCCATTCAAAAAAAATTTACTTATGAAATTATATAATTAAATTTATGTTCAATACTAGTACCCCCATTGACAATTCCTGAATTCGCCTTGCTTTTAATCATCATGGACCTTTTTAGAATCTCTAACCTCCCTTATTATCAATCTGTTGGCTCCTAATCCCTCACATAGAGACCAAATCATCCCTAAGGCATCAAATTGAGTGATTTTGAAGGATTTGAAAAGAAAAGAAAAGAAAGACAGTAAAAATTGTATTTGGATAATTTATATTAGAGAGAAAATAAAGGATAGGAAAGATTTGGGATTAAGGACCTCCAAATCTCTCATGTGTTATCTCCCAAAAAAAAAATGACTAAATAGTATTTTTATAATACCGAAATTACATTCTTATAACATTTGACTCTCATCTTATAACATTTTATAAAAAGTTATAATAATAATTTAATTCTTATTTCTTTTTTGTCTTTTTATTTTTTCTCCTCTATCTATCATTTTCTCTCATAATTTATCCAAATATGAATAAGGTTATTTTTATCATTTCTTTTATCTCATAATTAATATTATCTTATCTTTTCTTTTCTCTCGTATTTATTCAAACGAAATTCTTATCATTAATAATAAGATAATAATAAAGATAAAAAAAATTTACTGAAATAAAGATGTATTGACCAATAAAAGAGCAGATATAATTACGATAATTAATACAATATACCAAACAAAATTTATTTGTAAAAAATATATATACCTAATATTAGGTATGAGATCTCTCTCTCATTGGAGACCTCAGACTAACCCTTAATTGTTCCCGTATTATAACGGCTATTTTTCATAGCTGTTAAGAATATCGGTCGGAAACGGTTAAATTTATTTGTTTCCCACCGGGCCTCGTTTTATCTCTGGATTTAATAAATAATAATAAAAAAAATAATATGAGTGATGTAAATTGTAATGCATACCAAGGGTAATATTTAGCAAAAGGAAAGGTTGAATTAAAATGAATTCAGATAAATAGATATATGTAACGCTCATAAATGCTCATAAACTAGAACAAGAAATAATGCAAATAAATATGATATATTTATATCTATTGATATTATTAAAAGTACAAAAAAATTTCTGATTATTTTATATATTCATATCTATATCTATATATACTATTATTAAAAGTAGAAATAGTTTTCGATTATTTTAAATTTTTATATTATTTTATTTTCTATAATTTTATTTTATTAAAAAAAATAATTTTTGTTTTCATTAAACACAAACTCTTCTATTTTATTTTAACAAGATAAACAAAAAAAAAAATCATAATTCTAAAAAATTCTTAATTGGAAAGACACAAAACTATTTTTTATAGTGATAAATACAATCTTAAACAAAAACTCTTCAAATAATAGAAGTAATTAATTTTGAAAAATTCTTAATTGAGAATAATGATTGAAATAGTACAATCTTAAACACAAACTCTCCCGAGAATAGAAAGAACTAATTTTGAGAATAATAATTAAAATTAAAATAAATCTCTTTTCACCTTATTTTGAACTCTTTAACATAAACAAACACAATAAATTCATGCTACGATATAGTACTAGAGTTTTCAAAGAATTTTTCATTTTATTTAATCTAAATTGTGTTACACACAAACTCTTCTATTTTATTTTAACAAGAGTTTTCATCAGACACCAATTCTGTATTTTAGTGATAGATACAAAAAATTTATTTTATTTTATACATAATATTATATAAAGGGATAAAAACTTGTGTTAAACGAATTTCTCTCACCAATTCTCTCAAACATTTCTATATATACATATATTATATATATATACCTACCTTCGAATCTGGGGAACTAGTATGCCATGGTCTTCGCCCGTAATCTACATTGTCAGCATCGGTATCCGGCGAAAAGTCAAAAGAGGACAGGACGTCATTCAATTCACTTGCCCCACACACACACACACACACACACACAACTATTAAATGTAGGTAGAATTGTTACTCTTTTATAAAATTTTAAAACAAGATATTATTTAATTCAATCCAACAATATATTTATATATATATATATATATGACAAAAAGTTGTATTAGACACAAACACTACTACTAGTCACTTCTCTTAAATATATAATACATTTTTTATATTTATATTGAATACTTAATAGTTATTAATTTCATATTATTTTATAACTAATTGACTTTTAAAAATACTATTTGAATTAAATAACATGGGAGTAAGCCACATTTTCTAGGAATTTTTTTACTTTTTATGAAAATTTAAAACAAGATATTATTTAATTCAATCCAAAAATATATGTATTTATATATAAATGACAAAAAGTTGTATGAAACTTAATCAATTCTCTTAAATATATAATACATTTTATGTTTATATTAAATAACCAAAGTGATTAATTTCCTATTCTTCTATAACTAATTGACTCTTAAGAATAATATTTGAACTAAATAACATGGGATCGTGCCACATTTTTTAGGAGTTATTGTATATACATTATACACTACTATTAAACGTAGGTAGAATTTTTATACTTCTATAAAATTCTAAGACAATATATTATTTAATCCAATCCAAAAATTATATTTATTTATATATAAAAGACTAAAGTGAAACACAAATTCTACTCCTATAGCCAAATCTCTTAAATATATAATACATTTTTTATGTTTATATATTAAATAACCAAAGTAATTAATGTTAAGAATACTATTTAAACTGAGTAACATAAGACCGTGCCACATTTTTTTAGAGTTATTGAATCATGGCATTTATTTTTACCTTATATTTATGTTGTTATTAACAGTATTATATTAATTATTTATTGGCAAATGTCCTTTTATCTAAAAAAAATAAAATTTACAAGACAATTAAAAGCCATAAAATCATATAGGATGTTCGAGAAGCCCATAAGATAATTAGTTTATTTAGACAAAGGATTACTTAACTGATCATGAATAAATGAATGACAATTTAATAGAAAGTTTAAAATTTAACAAATATGTTAAATCCAGCTTTCTTCTTTTTAAAATATAAAAACTCAAATTTATAATGTATTTTTTTTTTCAAAAAATAAATAAATAAACTTATAATGTAAGAGGAAGCATATACAAATTAAAAATTCCCACCTCCTTGTTTTTTTTTTTTTTTTGGGTGATGTAAATGAAGTAAATTAATTTGTACTGTACAATAAAGGCAAGTCCAGCCAAACTACAAAAGGGCAGAAAAGGCCAACACATCAACAAAGAGAATTAAATGTTTTACTGTATTACATTGCAAAGAATGGATGTGTTGTACCACAGACGATCCCAGCTCCTCCAAAGCCAAACAAACTCATAAAAGGAAAGACACGTTTGAATGAAGTCTTATTGCATGTTTATGAGATTCACCAAATGACAATTTTATTTGAATAAGCTGGTCAATATCTTTAAACCAATTAATAAGTATCAATACGTATTTTCCTTCCATAGACTCAAAATTAATAATCACCCAAATTATTGTAATCTTCTTTACCGGAAGAGACAATGCAATCAACCTAACTCTCAAAGTTTGTTTCTACCCCACAAATAGTAACGTCTATTGACTAATTCTTCCCTCTCCCTCCCTCTATATATAGTTATATACATCTGTACACACACAAACATAAGTGATCAGTGCTTACACAAAAAACACATATATATTACCTACTTACACACACACACACCCTGCAGGGAATTGGATTCTTCTCTCTCCCTGCAAGCACTCCTCTCTCTCTCTCTCTTTCTCTCTCTCAAAATAAACACACACAGATATACTATCAACTTACACACACCCAAAAACAAGGATTTTTATAGGAGAATAAAAAAACACACACACACACACACACACATATATATCCCTATATAGAAATGGCAAGAAAGAAGGTTAAAATTGCGAAGATTATGAATGAGAGTACTAGAAAATCTTGTCTTAGAAAAAGAAGAGCTGGTTTGTTTAAGAAAGCCGAGGAACTGTGTGTCCTATGCGACGTGCAGATCGGCATAGTTGTTTACAGTCCAGATGAAGCTGCAGCAGGTCCCGCAGTTTGGCCATCTCAGCAAGAGATGGAAGGAGTAATGGCGAGGTTTTTTGCCATGCCCGAAACTGAAAGAGCCAGAAAAGGTAGTACACTTGTAAGCTACCTCATGGAGAGGTTGGAGAAAGAGGAGGAAAAGATCAACAAAGCCAAGAAGAAGAATGATGAGAAGGAAATGGAGGAAATCACGTGGCAAATATCTGAAGGTAATATGAATGTAAAGGGACTAGTTGATGCAAACCAACTTAATGGTGTGTCTTTGTTGGCTGCTGACTTGGTTGACAGGCTCCACAAAAGGAAGCAACAAATCATGACCAGCAGCAGCAGCAGCAGCAGCCCACAAAATCCAGCAGATCATCCTTCTGCACCACCACCACCACCTCCTCCTCGTCAGCATCATCACCAGGCATCGCCAGCACCTGTAGAAGAAGAAGCTGCAGCCCCATTTCATGGGGATATTGGTGATAGAGATGTAAGGACCTTGAGCATTCCCACACCAATGGAACAATTGATGAATGATCAATGGTTCATGGATACAATGGCCCATCACCAGGATCTTCATATTGGTGGAGGGAGTGACTTGGGGCTGCCACCTGAAGACGCTGCCGGAACAAGTGGTGGCACAAAGGACAAGGACCTGCCTGATGACCTCAACAGTGCATGGCCTCACATTTATTCTCCTTGACATGTAGTGTTCATATTTTATGTATGTATATATTGTTGAATCTAATTTTATATATATAAATATATGAATCATTTTTGGGTGGGTGTTTTGCTTCAACTGCGTAGAAGTTTCCTTTACTGATTTCTCCGTAAAATGATATTGTTTCATGTTTTTTTTTTTTTTTTAAAGAAAAAAACACGCAGTGATGATGGTAAATTACATGAAGGCAAACTCTAGGTAATTAAATCAGAAATTTCTTTTCAGTCACAAAAGCAAGCAAGAAAAAAAAAATTACTAGTGCTACAAGAAATGTTGCTTTGCTCTAACATTTACATATAAATGTTCAAATTTCCCACGTAATGCATGGAATGAAAACAAGAGTGCTGATACGCAGCCTGAATCGAATTATTTATCGTTTTCCTAAAATAGTGATTACCAATGAAGCTTACCCATGATTCTATTAATTATCATGTGTGTCGCCTTTCTAAGATGTTATGCACTATCACATGTGCCGCGTAATGCATGGAATAAAAACAAGAGTGGTAATACATGATTCGGAATGCTTACAAAGGATTCTATTAATTATCACTTGCGCCGCCTTTCTAAGATATTATGCTTAGTATTTTCCTCTGAAACCTTTCTAAGATATATATTACGTATTATCGTGCGCGCCACCTTTCTAAGTTATTATGTTTAGTATTTACTGTATTTTCATGCACCGCCTTTCTTAGATATTATGTTCGGTGCTTTTCTACACAATGATAGGATTCATTAAAAATCTAAGCATTCCATTTCCACCAGTACCTTGCTTTTTTCCAATAAAACACTAACACCTTATACAAATATATATATATATATATATATATATATATATACTATATTATTAGTATCTAATATCTCATATTTATTTATTTTTCCTCTATGTGAGGAATGGTTAAAAGCCGGATTATTGACAAGAAAAATTTTTTTTTTCAAAAAAATTAAGGATTTGTTGTTCATAATATTGTAATCTATGATTTCAGAGAAAAATGAATCGGATCAAGATAAAAATATATTTATTCAGTTCCCACATCCACTTTTTTCTGACTTCCAACACATCAATTATAATATAAATTGAAAAGGAGTTCACGTTATGTTTTATATGGAAAAGGATTGCAACATAGTAATACAACTAGCCCTATACTTAAATATTTTCAAATATTGGTCCACAACTAGTTAAGAATGAGCAGGGTTGTATTCATTTAATTTTAGCATATTCAGTTTTCTATAAATGTGTTCAACCTTGCTGTCATTCAAGTTTGAAAATTTATTTATTTATTTATTTATTGATATACTCTTTTATTTAATCCATCCAATGAAAAATTGAAGCACAAATTTTTTTCAGTTTTATATAATATGCAGCGATGTTGCCAAAACTTTAATTTTGACATGGATGAGGCGTGGACCAAAAAAATATTCTGACAATAAAAATTAAATTCATCATCATTTAAGAGGGCATTGATTGGATTATTGACAAAGAATGACTTGGAGTAGTCCCCCGCAAGGCTTGACATTAATTTAGCATTTACTGTTTGGTTTTTCCTTATTTGAATAATTTATTAATACTCTTTCCCATGAAATAATTAACATTATCTGTGAATAAATATTTCTATTTAAGACTTTTAAAACATTTTTTTTGTTCTTTCTTGACAACTGTATCCGTGCCGTTCAGGGTCAGTTTCAGTTGTTATTTTCAACTATTTTTTATCAAGTCTTAACTTCTTTAGTCCCCCTTAATTATCTTGACCTTCTCACTTTCTCGTGTATCAATTTTGGAACTCCATAATGACCTACTAAAGTATATTTTAGGTGTTGTAGGAACTTTTATTTTACCATGTATAATAAACCCGTGTATCTCAGATCTTTAAACCCTTTTTTAAGTTAGGCATGCAGCAAAATCATCCATAGTAGGGTCTATCTGCCTGAGCAACTATAGCTCTCATGAGTGTATCTAATAACATTAAAATGTCCTAGGATTATCAAAGGAAAAGGTCACAGCTGAGAGCTGAGCTAAGTCTCTCCATAAAGCCTTCCTTCCAAGGTTTTAATTTTGCTGGATAAATGAAAGAGGCCTGAAATTCTAACTAGGACGCAAGAAGTTGAATGGAACAGTGGATAGCATGTCTGTTTCCATAGAGCATTTGAACCTTAACTTTCTCAGAATTTAATAGGATCCATAAATAATTATAGTTGTTTAGCTTGCTCCAAGAGTTACCAATTCTTCAACGAGTAACATCACAATTTGCAGGGTTAATTTTGGTCTCCAGAACAGCCACAATGTCAAGATTAAACTCACGGATCAATTTTCTCTCTTCTATTTGTTTCAAGGGATTGTTCATACCCCTGATGTTCCACTATGATAGGGTGAACATTTCGAGGTTTTGGTTGGATTGCAAAGACCCTTAAATCCTCCAATAGATCTAACTTGTGGTTTCCTCAACTTTTTCCCGTATATTCTACCTCTTCCTGCACCCCTTTGATTTCGTCTCAAAAGAGGTGTGATCCTCTTCCAGAAAAGAGGTTTTTTGTTCCACCTCAGAAAACTAAATCAAGCAGAAAGACCTGTTTTCAGAGAACTATCTTTTATGGCTCTATTAAAACAGTTTTATGCTTTTTAAGTTCTTGAGAACTGTTTTCTGGAAACTGAACCAAGCAAGCCCATATTCATTCTGAGTCTGATACCAATTTTTTTCGGGATTTTTCTTTGTGGTGTTGTAAAAATGAAGCATCCTCTTCTCCAAGATTTCTCAGCTCAAAAGAATGCTCCTCTAGATGAAGCTTCTGAATGAAATTAGAATCTTCTGAATGATATCAGAATCCCAAAATCTCCCCACAATAAACCACTTCCACATTCATCCACCAACCTTTTCCCCAATTGAAAACATCCACTTAGACAACCATTTCATCCACCACTACAAAAAAAAAATCCACAAACCAGCCAGCTCTCATCCACCAAAACCAAAGCCAAATAAATTGCCACACAAGAAACATGAACATGCTTCTAAACCCTCTCCTTCACTGCCAAGAGAGAAATGTTAACAACAAGCACTTCACAAGGCTCCTTAAATCAGACTCTTGTCTGATAACCTTGAAACTACCATCATGCATTCCTCAATAGCTGATCTTATCAAAGAAGTTGCTTGGCTAGGGGATCTTATTGTCAGGGCAAACAGGAACCATTATCAACTGATGCAAACAATTTCAGGTCTGAGAGCTCACGTTGACACCCTCACAGCCAACAAGGATTCCGACCACCTGCAGGGAAGTCAAAGTCTTTTCCCTCTTCCTTCTTCAAATTTGAATTGCCATGCTTTGTCAACTCATTTTGCTGGGACAGCATGTCAGGAAGCCTTACCCAAAATGTGAAAAACCCATTCCCCAATACAGAAACCCCTCTCAAACCAACATTATCCGACAGTCTGAATGAACACCCAGCAGCTATTAACCAACAGATCTCCATCCCATCTGCCTTTACCAGCTCCGATGACCTCCATCCATAACTTGGTTAACTTCACCAAATGGAAAATTCTCCCTAAAACACACACTAGCTTCAATTTCACCTCCATTGGAGCTCGTTCCTCGGGGGCCCATTTGGTTTGGAACTCCATATCTATACCAAGGCAAAAATTCTTTCTCTGGCTGTCAATCCTAAACAGAATGCCTACCCTCAATAAGGAAAGCCATTGAGTATACAGGGATCCTAAACCATTGCCCTTTTTGTCAAGTTACAAAAGAAGCTGTCTAGGAAGTACGGACACTCCGAAATAGGCAAAGAATCCGTGTCGGACACGGACACGCGTCGGACACGGCCCGACACGTGTCGGACACGGCAAAAAGCGTGTCTGGAATTTTTTATTTTTTTAAAATTTTCGGACACGGATTGGACACGGCACGGACACGCGTCCGACACGCCAGGGTGTGTGTCCGACACGCGTGTCTTATTTTTGGGGGTTTAAAATATAATTTTTAAAAGAAAGTTAGGTTAAAGTACAAATATATAAAGTTATTTACTTACTTATGTGGTCAGAACATAATAATTTTAAACTTTCAAGGTTAATATGTAATTTTAAACAAAAGAGATAGATATTTAAGGCAGTCATTACACTATTACAAGATCAGATTCAAAGGACGGGGGTTGTGCTCTCTCAAACTGACGACGAAGCTCTGCAACTTCCTGCTGCAGATCAAAGTGACTCCTTCCAGCCTCCATGTCAGTCTCTCTCTCTCTTTCTCTCTCTCTCTCCTCTCTTTTCTTCCTCCTCCTTCCTCTTTTCTTTCTTTTTCTTCACAAACCCTAGTTTCTTTCTTTCTTTCTTCTTCATTTTTTTTTTTCTTTTTCCTTTTTCACAAACCCAGATTCTTTCTTTCTTCTTCATTTATTTTTTTTTTTGTTTTTTTTTTCGTTTTCCTTTTTCAAAACCCCAGTTTCTTTCTTTTTCTTTTCTCTCTCCTTTGTTTTTTTTTTTCCCCCGTTTTTCACTAACCCCAGTTTCTTTCTTCTTCATCTATTTTTTATTTTTTGTTTTTTGTTTTCCTTTTTCAAAACCCCAAATTCTTTCTTTTTCTTTTCTCTCTCTCCTCCCCCCCCCCCCCCCCCCTCCACTAACCCCAGTTCACAAACCCGTCTTCTTCTTTTCTGGTATTTTTCCTTTTTTACAGACCTTAATTTCTTTCCTAATTTCTTTCTTCTGCTTCTTCTTCTTCTTCTCTGTTGTCTTTATTCTTGCTTTAAATTTTAGCTTGTGTGAGTCGTGACTTATTGACCTGTAAATGAATTGGATTTCATCTTTGATTTAATTTCATCTATTGCATATGACTTATGAATCTGTAGCAAATAGGAATTTATTTTTTCTTTGCTGACTGTTCTTTCTTTGCTGACTGCTGTAAGTATGGATTTTTTTTCTTTTCTTTTTATGTCAAGGGAATTAGACATGTCATTGTCTACATCAGTTGCTAGTTGTACTCCTCAATTCGAACAAGATGATAACAAACCACTTTGGAACTATGTCACACAATTAGAAAAAATTGGTGGTGGAGGAGGAAATTTTTTATTCAAATGCCACTTTTGTAATAACGAATTCAGGGGGTCTTATACAAGAGTTAAAGCCCACTTGTTGCAGAACACTGGTATGGGTATTCGTATATGTCCAAAAGTCACATATCAGAATATTGCAGAAATGCAAAAAGCAATTGAAGAAGCCGAATTGAGAATTAAAAATTCTAAACCAAAAAAAGTTCCTTTGCCGCCGTCTAGTGCATCATTGGGTGGTACTACTAGTCTCACTCAGGAGGCTTATGTACCAAAGAAAAGAAAGGCAAGTGGGGGTGCCATTGGGAAGGCATTTAATAATGAGGCTCGGGAACAATTGCACTCAGAGATTGCTAGGATGTTTTATTCCGCAGGATTGCCGTTTCATCTAGCAAGAAACCCGTATTATGTGAGTTCATACAACTATGCTGCAAATAATACTCTGTCAGGTTATTTGCCTCCGGGTTATAATCTATTGAGAACCACTCTACTTCAAAAAGAAAAGGCAAATATTGATAGATTATTGCAACCAATTAGGAGTACATGGAAGGCAAAGGGTGTTAGCATTGCAAGTGATGGTTGGAGTGATCCACAAAGGCGGCCTTTAATTAATTTTATGGCTATGACAGAAGGAGGTCCCATGTTTTTGAAAGCTGTTGATTGTTCCGATGGAATTAAAGACAAGTTTTTCATTTCCAATTTGTTGAAGGAAGTCATAAATGAGGTTGGCCCCCAAAATGTGATCCAAGTAATTACAGACAATGCCCCAAATTGCAAGGCTGCTGGACAACTAATTGAAGGGCAATTCCCTCACATTGTTTGGACACCTTGTGTGGTCCATACTCTTAATCTTGCCCTCAAAAATATTTGTGCTGCAAAAAATGTGGAAAAGAATGAAATTGCATATGCAGAGTGTGGTTGGATTCTTGATTATGCTGATGAGGTTACAATAATAAAGAATTTCATCATGAACCATTCAATGAGATTAGCTATTTTCAATGAGTTTGTCAGCTTGAAGTTGCTTTCAGTTGCAGAGACACGCTTTGCTTCTGTTATTGTGATGATGAAAAGATTTAAACTTATAAAAGGTGGTATCCAAGCAATGGTCATAAGTGACAAGTGGACTTGCTATAAGGAGGATGATATAGGAAAGGCCGATTATGTGAGAGAGAAGCTGTTGGATGAACAATGGTGGGGAAAGATTGATTATATCCTTTCCTTTACTTCACCTATTTATGACATGCTAAGGGCTTGTGATACCGATAAGCCTTGTCTTCCCTTAGTTTATGATATGTGGGATACAATGATTGAAAAAGTGAAGATGGCAATATATAGGTATGAAAGAAAGCGACAAAGTGAAAGTTCTTCCTTTTATGAAGTGGTGCATGGGATACTTGTAGCTCGTTGGAACAAGAACAATACTCCGCTTCATTGCTTGGCACATTCACTAAATCCAAGGTAAATCATTAGATATTAATTTGTAAGCTAAAGAAGTTTTAATCTTAGTTTAGAATTAAGGAAATTAAATTATGAATTAAATGCATTCTCTTATTTATTGTAGGTACTATAGTGATGTGTGGCTTAGTGAAGACCAAAGTCGAGTTCCACCACACAAGGATTTAGAGGTCTCAAGAGAGAGAACAAGGTGCCTTAAAAAATACTTTAGTGACCCACAAGAGCGTTCAAAAGTCCAATTGGAGTATGCTAATTTTTCATCAAACTCGGGGGAATTTGGGGAGAGTGATTCTATATGTGATAGATATACCATGGATCCTAAAAGTTGGTGGGTTGTACATGGTTCATATGGTCCCTTGCTTCAAGAGTTAGCTTTGAAGTTGCTTGTCCAGCCTTCTTCCTCCTCATGTTGTGAGAGGAACTGGAGTACTTATTCTTTTATTCACTCATTGAGAAGGAACAAGATGGCGCCACAACGGGCTGAAGATTTGGTTTTCATTCATAGTAATCTCCGTCTTCTGTCAAGGAGAACCCCACAGTACAATGAAGGACGAACTAAGATGTGGGATATTGCAGGAGATGCATTTGATTCATTTGGTGATGTTGGGGTGCTTGAGGTTGCAAACCTCTCACTTGATGAGCCAGAATTAGAGGCGGTATTATTTACCGATGATGGAAGTGTTAATGATGATGAGATTCATGAGACAATTGATGATGAACAACAATAGATGAATGCTGATATGTTCTTTTTTTTTTGTTTTGGACTACCCTTTTGGTATTGTAAATGGTAAAGTCCTAGGTCAAATGATGGATGGGAATAGATGATAGTACACTGACTTGTTTTTGTATCTTTTTTGGGACTAGCCTTTAGGTTTTTGTGAATGTTAAGTGCTAACAGTACAGTCCTGAATGTTAAACAATCATGAATGTTAATAGTCCTTTCAGTCTATGCTTTTGTATTTGGAGTAAAGTTGCAATGATGATTAAATGATACTAATTATTATTCTAATATCTTGTTTTTTATTTGGTTTTATAACTCTGCAACATTGTTCTTTTATAGTTTATTAGTTATAAGTTATGATTTGTATATATTTTCCATTGTGAGGTTGATGAAAAATAGTAACACTCGGTAATTTTTAAAGTACTACATAAAAAGCGAATAGTGTATATACACACACACACACACACACACACACACACATATATATATATGTGTGTGTGTGTGTGTGTGTGTGTGTATACACTATTCGCCGTGTCCGTGTCCTAATTTTTTTGGATTTGCCGTGTCGCCGTGTCCGTGTCGTGTCGTATCCGTGTCCGTGCTTCTTAGGAATCTGTGGAAAGATGTAGGCTGAATTGTTAGAAAATTAGTTAGGGAGGATTTTTAGAAATTATCCATAGTTAGATAGTTGACCTTTTTTAAAAATTATGATCTGTATATATCTTTTCCTTATATAGAATTTGTAATACACTTCTATATATATAGGCCTGTAAACTAACATATGATATATGGAAAGAGAAATCAGAATTTATTCTTTTTCACCTTTGTGTTCATGGTATCAGAGGTTCAGAGCCGCACTCACTAGGACGGTAAATTACTCCATTGTTTTGCTGATCATCCGATAAAAGCAGCAAATATTCATCGTTAATTCTGGTTGTTTATACCAGAATTATAAAAGACTTATTCTTCTATTTCTCTTCGTCGTTTCTGGACGATTTCTTTGGTTAAATCCACGATGTCTGGAATCTCCACTGAGGAAGTTTCGGTCGATTCTTCAAATGCTCGGAAATCCCAGATCACTTCATCCGGTTCAGGTGACAACCCAATCCTCCAAATTACCACTCGTCAGCTGAATGGACAAAATTTACTACGGTAGTCTCAATCCATAAAGTTGTTTGTCCGAGGGCGGGGGAAGATTGGTTATTTAACTAGTGCAAAGCAGGCCCCAAAGGAAGATGATCCAACATATGCCGTTTGGGATGCAGAAAATTCCATGATTATGTCATGGCTAGTGAACTCCATGGAATCGAAGATAGGCCAGACATTTATGTATCTCTCCACTGCCAAAGAATTATGGGACGCAGTGAGTGAGATATACTCAAACTTAGGCAATTCCGCAAAAGTCTATGAAATTAAAACAAGGATCCGAGAAACAAGACAAAGAGATCAGACTGTTACAAAGTATTACAACATATTACAAGGTTTGTGGCAAGAACTTGACCTCTTTTATGATTTTGAATGGAAGTGTGTAGGTGATAGAACCCAGAGTTAGACGAAGTGATAGGACGTATTCTAGGCAAAGAGCCACTGCTTACCATTAGAGTCTAGAGAAGTCTTCTCGGAAGTTAGGAGGAAGAAAGCCGTAGGTTAGTGATGATTTAAAATAAATCTTCTAGCACTCATAGTGAGAACTCTGCACTCAATGTAACAGCCACTGAAATGGCAGCAGCTGCGGTTAATCCAAAACCAACAAATCACCCACATCGGAAGATTGAAGAGAAAACCAAGATCTAGTGTGATTTCTGTAACAAACCAACGCACATGCGAGAAACATGCTGAAAACTACATGAAAACCAGCAAATTGGAAGGTAGGCAGAGACATCTCCATTCAGTAAGAGCAGCTTGGTCACCTCTCTAAACTGCTGAACCAAACTCAGGTTTCAAGTGTCTCCTCAGGTTCTCTTGCCCAAAATGGTTGCTCTTTAAGTGCTCTCACTAGTTCTTTAAATCTGGCACCTTGGATCATTGATTCTAGTGCATCTGATCATGTGACTAGTTTATCACATTTGTTTAGTACATATTTTCCAAATTCTGGTCACTTAAAAATTCGTATTGCTGATGGTAGTTTATCTCCAGTTGCAAGAAAAGGTTCTATGGTTGTCTCAGAAAACCTTGTTTTAAAATCTGTCCTCCATGTGCCTAACCTTTCATGCAATCTTTTATCAGTTAGTAAACTCACCAAAGATTCGAACTGTGTTGTCAAATTTCTTGATTCTCACTGTGAATTTCAGGACCTATATTCAAGGAAGATGATTGGCAGTGCTATGATGGTTGATGGACTCTATTATTTTGATAATGAAATCTTCAAGAGTGGACAAGCTCAAGCTGCAAGTAGTAGTGATATTTCTATTTCTGTTAAAAGTCAAATAATGTTATGGCACTATAGGTTAGGCCATCCCAGTTTCTCTTACTTAAAACATTTGTTTCCATCCCTGTTCAAAAATTTAAATCCTTTGTTATTTCAATGTGAATCTTGCCAATTATCAAAGCATCATCGTGTTTCATATCTTTCTCATTCATATCAAGCATCCAAACCATTTTATTTGATTCATAGTGATGTGTGGGGGCCTTCTCGGGTTACTAATGTGACTGGAAATAGGTGGTTTATCGCTTTCATTGATGACCATACTAGAATGTGTTGGGTATATATTTTGAGAGAAAAATCTGAGGCTGCGAGACTATTTAAAGAGTTCTATGCCATGATTGAAAACCAGTTTCAAACCCGGATTCAAGTATTTAGAAACAACACCAGTTTCAAACCCGGATTCAAGTATTTAGAAACAACAACGGAAAATAATTCTTTAACTCTATTCTTGGTGATTTTTTGAAAGAAAGGGTATTTTCCATCAGTCCACTTGCTCTGATACCCCACAGCAAAACGGGATAGCTGAGAGAAAAAAAAAACGCCATTTACTTGAGGTTGCTGGGCTGAGGCTATTCTTACAACTTCATACTTGATCAACAGAATGCAAACTAGGGTGTTGAAATTTGAGACGCCCCTAAATAGCTTGCTGTCAGTTTTTCCCCATATTAGGATCTTCACTTCATTATCGGATTCTTAAATACCTAAAGGGATCACTTGGAAGAGGTTTGTTGTTTGAAAACCATGGCCATCTAAGGATTGAAGCCTATACCGATGCTGATTGGGTAGGTAGTGTGACGGATAAAAGGTCTACTTCAGGTTACTGTACTTATGTTGGTGGAAACTTGGTAACTTGGAGGAGCAAGAAGCAAACCTTTGTAGCAAAGAGTAGTGCAGAAGTTGAGTTCAGAGCAGTTACTCATGGAATTTGTGAACTTTTGTGGCTGAAAAGATTACTTGAAGATCTTAAAATCTCAAGTCCAATGCCTATGAAGCTTTAATGTGATAATAAAGTTGCAATCAACATAGCTCACAATCCTATCCAACATGATAAGACTAAGCATGTGGAAGTTGATCGACATTTTATAAAGGAGAAATTGGAAGAAGGAGTGATGTGTGCCTTACATTCTTACAGGAGAACAGGTAGCAGATATCCTCACTAAAGGATTACCGAAGGGGAAATTTGACAATCTTACATGCAAGCTGGGAATGCAAGATATTTTTTCGAGCCAGCTTGAGGAGGAGTGTGGAAAGATCTAGGCTGAGTTGTTAGGAAATTAGTTATGGAGGATTTTTAGGAATTATCCATAGTTAGGTAGTTGACTTTTTAAAAAAATTATGATCATCTTTTCCTTAGATAGAATTTGTAATATACTTCTATATATATAGGCCTGTAAACTAGCATATGATATATGAAAAGAGAATATCAAAATTTATTCTTTTTCACCTTTGTGTTCAGAATCTTTGAACCACATCTTTTTCTCTTGCCCACTTTTATCTCCCATTTAGTCTCACATACAAAATCATTGTGGGTTCCATGTTAATCCCTTGTCATGGAACAACCTCATACACTGGGTTGCTCAGCATTGGACTCCAAGAGAAATCTCACCAATTCCGTCAACAAATTGGCACTCTCAGCCACCATCGACGAGCTCTGATTCGAGAGGAACTCGAGATTGTTTGGTGGAATATGCAGATCTCAGAACTCGGTACTCCAACGAATCACCACCGACATCATAAAAAGACTCCTCCCAATGAACCATAAGAATGGATCAGCAGCCCAGCGTGCCCGTAATGTGTAGGATCTTCCATCTTCCTTCATAGGTCAACCGCCAAGACCACCTGATGCTTGATTCCTCCTCCACAAAGAGGAACATAGCATAATGTCACGAAGTGATTCCTAAGACGCTTGGAGGATGGAAGACACGCATGCTGGTTGGCAAAGAGCAGAGTTTGACTGGGAATGGTTCCAGGGAAGGGGCGTGCAGGAGCACAGGATGGTACCTCTTCAGAGTTCAGGCAGGTCGACTCGGTTCAGTTCGAGGTGCTTGTCGCTGGTCGTGGACTTGACTATGAAGAAGGGAGTTGGCCATCCCTGCACAAACTGGTCGGGAGCTGGAGCCGTTCCCCTGACGAGGCCATGGCAGGCCGAAACCAGTCAGCATGTATCCTTGGGAGGGCAGGTCGTGGTGGCTGACCAGGGCGCTTGCGCGAGCTGAAGCAACGCCTTGGTGCCGCACGGGCCGTGCCGCTGCGCCAAATCTCTAGGCCCGTGACAAATGGTATCAGAGCAGGACTTGGGGTAAAGCACGGTGGGGTGCCCCCTTGTCGGTCCAGGAGGGGTCAGAGAATGAAGACGGTGCATTGAAGTTGCGTCGATGTGGAGGAATCAATGCAGTTGGGGGGGAGAGCCTCCATCTCCCCAGGAAGAGGCGTCCGTTGAAGTTGCGCATTGAAGGGCCGGAGGGCCGCGCGCACCAAAGTTCGTGCTTAGTCCTTGGGTGATGCAAACCATGGTGAAGGGCGAGCATCAAGTCGGCAGAAGGCCATTGCTTGCTCGGGATGTCGCGGAGGCGACATGACGGAGAAGAGTCACGTCCTTGAGGAGTGGACGTCCCCTTGGTCCGAGGCCTATCATTGGGCGAGTGCAGTGCAGGGAACTGCACAAGGAAGCGATGGTGGGAAGGTGAGCATACCGCATGGAGGCAGACTTTGGAAGGGAGTGGACGCAGTAGTGAAGCGCCGCACTGCGACGAGGACGTCGCAGGATTTGGGTGGGGGAGAATGTCACGAAGTGATTCCTAAGACGCTTGGAGGATGGAAGACACGCATGCTGGTTGGCAAA